ACTGCACTGAAAATTTATGGGGTTTACTGGTTTAGAAATGGTATAACAGGGCAGAAAGAACTAAAGAAGCACAATGGGTAGCCCATTAAGAACAAGTTTGGGATATGTTAAGAGAAAATCGGAATATTTTGCGACCTTTCAAAGGCATTCGACTGTGTTGAGCACGAGACGCTGTTACTGAAGCTAGAACACTACGGCATTCGGGGGGTATCCCTAGATTTATTGAAATCATACCTTCAAGAAAGAAAAATTAAAGTACAAGTCAACAAAGTTAACTCACTGGGTGCCAGCGTATCTATGGGCGTACCGCAGGGCTCAATATTAGGTCCTTTTCTATTTTTAGTTTATGTAAATGACCTGCCCCATATGTTCCAAAATGAACCGCATATGGTATTATTCGCTGATGACACTTCATTGATTTTTAAAATAAATAGACGAACAAACAAATATGACGAAGTTAATAATGCCTTAATGAAGGTTCAAAATTGGTTTACAATAAACAGCTTATTACTAAATGATAAAAAGACTAAATGCATTAGATTTATTTTACCAAATGTTAAAAGTAACGTATGTGATGATATATTATTAAATGATCAGAAACTAGAATTTGTAAAAGAGACTACTTTCCTGGGGATCACTGTAGATGAGAAGTTGCAATGGGGGCCCCACATCAGGTCTCTAGCAGGACGATTGAGCTCTGCAGCTTATGCTGTCTGGAAGATCCGTCAGCTAACTGATGTAGGCACGGCAAGACTAGTGTACTTTAGCTACTTTCACAGCATCATGTCGTATGGAATTCTGTTGTGGGGACAGGCATCTGACGTTGAGTCTATCTTTATCTTGCAAAAGCGTGCCGTCAGAGCTATATATAACTTAGGTCGTCGCGAATCTCTCAGAGAAAAGTTTAAAGAGATCAACATTCTGACCGTACCGAGTCAATTTATTTATGAAAACATTATGTATGTTAGGAAAAACCTACACTTATTTGTAAAGGTATCTGACAAACATGATTATCATACTAGACATAGGAATAGATTGAGTCAGCCTTTATTTAGATTGGCAAAAGTGCATAAGTCATTCCTGGGTTTCTGTGTTAAATGTTATAATAAAATCCCAGTTGAAATTCAAAATTTAAATGAAAACAAATTTAAATTATGTATAAAGAAACATTTATGTAAACTAGCATACTACAAACTAAATGATTATATACAAGATAAAAATGCTTGGAGGCTAGCTGGTCCTACTCCACAGGATGTTTAGAGTATTTTTTTGATTTTAATTATTAAATTGTACACTATGTTGTTAATTGTTGATGAACTTCTAAGATTTTGTAAATGTGAGTGCCCTGTAACCTATTATAATTAAGTAAGACTTGTAGAATATAGGTACTTGTGTCGGCTGGGAGCTGTCATGCTCACTCAGAGGTCTCATTGGCGGTGGCACGGGCACTGGATCGCCCAATTCCCTATAATATGGTTGAGTTGGGCGGTGCTGGTGTACGTGTCATGTTCGTGAACGGGCGCCGCCTATTGGGACTGGTCATCTCCAGGCTGTCTAAATATGTTTTCCTTGAGATTCACTTCTTTTTCGTACTTGTCTGAACATTAGTGTTACATTAATCTCACATATCAGAACCGACTAAATGATGTAACAAAGAAATGTATTGTAAAACTGATTGAAAAAGAGTAACCATGGAGTTTCTTGCTCGTTCTTCTCCATAGGAATCTACACTTTGGAACGAGCAAATAGCTTCACTAGAGGACAGACGGACAGAATGACACGCTTAATTTTAAAGCTCTTGTTATATACTTTTTTCCTTTTTTGCTTGCTTGACGTTCAAAAGTGCCTACTGTGGTCTAATTGAAATAAATGATTTTTGACTTTTTTTTTTTTAAATCTGGTGAGGTCTATCCGGAATCGCTGTGATGCTGTGATAGATGCGGAACAAAGTATTAGAGAATAATTTATAATTTAATTTACAGGGCGATCTACAGGGTGTAAGGGACAGCCTTCCACAGCCGCCCTGCAAAGCGTAACCCTCAATCGTTCCTATATTAACCTTTCGTTAGCTACCTTAGCGTTGGCTTGCTATGTACGGATGGGAGGACTACCAATAACGATCCGTAAGCGCATAGTATGGAAATAATGATCTCCAGTGTTTCTTTAAAAATATCAAACGTCAGTTGAATTGTCAAATATACTGTTCGTAGTTAGTTTGCATACCGGTCACTTTTGGGTGGTTTCAGAAAGTTTTGTGATATTATTAAAGTGTTGAGTTAAAATTATTAAAAATGTCGAGCTCCGAAAGCGATTTAGAAATGCTAGAAATAAGCTCGGATTCCAGTGACTTCGATTCAGGACAAAATAGTCACCGTCTTAAGAGTTCAAACAAAGAGTGAACTATTTTACTGTTTTGGATGATTTCGAGTTCCAACTGAGATTTCGTCTTGATAAACCGTCTGTGCAAGACTTACTGCTTGAAATATATCCATATTTAAGAGTAAGCGAAACCAGGTTAGTATATCTACTGGTACATATTACGAAGAATTGTTTGGCATACATAGTATTCCACGAGTGTTACCACCATGAGCTCTAGACACGTTTTAACGAATTTGTTCACAGCCTTTTTCGTTTGTTTAAGGAATCATGGAGTGTTCCCAATTCTCAAGTTATTATTGACTTTAAGGTTTTATGCTCTAGGAACTATGCTTATATCAGCAGCAGATTTTATTGGAGTATCGAAATCATCTGCATGTCGTATTGTACGTGATGTCAGTTATGCAATAGCACATTTTTCTGTGTCTCTGTTTCCACGAGTACTTGGTGCCCTTGATGGAACGCCCATAAGGATACAAACACCATGTAAGTGTATTACATTAGACTTATAAGTACCAACTAACTTTATTAATAACTTAGTTTATGAATAAGTACCTATTTAATAACTACCAAAAAATATTTATTTCAGGTTATCAGATTGGAGAAGAGTTTTGTAATCGCAAAGGATACTTTTCCTTAAATGTGCAGGAAGAATGCCATATCAATTTGCAGTTTATGAATGTAGTTGCTCGTTGGCCAGGATCTGCTCATGATTCCACAGTGGTAACAGTTCAGAGCTGCGAGGGAAACTTTTATTTTGTTATATTTCATGAATTTAAAACTCAAATAGGTTGGTTGTACATATTGAATACTGTTTTATTATAATTATATTTTCCAGCGCAATGTGAAAATGGACATTTTGGCTGCTTGGAGATAGTGCATATCCTTTGAAGACATACCTCTTGACTCCTTTGTTGAATCCAGCAAAACGAGGTGAACAACTTTATAATGAAGCCCACATCCGTACTAGAAACACCATTGAAAGGTATATTGAGGGTTATATTATATTGAGGATATGTACCCTAACTAATGGATTTGTAATTTGATTGATCATCAAATGTTATAGTAACATTTTACTTATTTTGCTATAAGAGTTTTGGAGTTTGGAAAAGAAGATTTCAAATTATGGCTTTGACTTTACGTCTGAGTCTAGTCCGAGCAAATGCAGTTATTATTGCTACAGCCGTACTTCACACATACATCTGTAGAAAGAAAAGCCTCTATGATATTACACCAGAGGTTGAGATTCCAGATGAGGATGCAGTGCCTATATCTACTAATAATGAGGAAAATAACCAAACAAAAAAGAAACTTTAATAGTAGAATATTTTATTAAGTTTGTAAGTAAGGCATGTTTTTATCCTTATAATTCATGCAAATGTGTTTTTAAAACTACGAGATATTTATTGGACAATATACTAACAAGAAAAAGCATTGTTATAAGTATGTTTGCATTTACATCATAAATTATAAAAGATATAGTGTAATAAATACCCTTGTGAGACGACGTATTTTATTTAAATATAATTTCTGTACTTATTCCCAAATTATTGATACAAAATATAATATGTTTTATTTAAGTATTTCATGTTTTATTTGTCATTTTTCTGATATAGCCTACTTCAATTAACTTAAAATTAAACTCTAAAAACTAAATATCACCAAGTTTTTCTTTATTAGCTAATTTTGACAGTTTTATTTCCGTTTTTTTTTATTTTTTTTGGGACTGGTCAGCTCCAGACTGTCTATTGTCCTTAAGGTTACTTTATTTTTATATTTGAATAAATATTAGTGTTACACTGTTCTCACATAATTGAACCAACTGTTTGTAAAAGGAATCTGTATGTGAAACTGATTTAAAAAGAGTAACCATAGAGTTTCTTGCTCGTTCTTCTCCATCGGAATCTACACTTTGGAACGAGCAAATAGCTTCACTAAGAGGACAGACCGACAGACTAACGCCATATCTTCAAAATTTTGTTTTGACGTTCAAATGTGCCTGTAAAGGTCTAATTGGAATAAATGATTTTTGACTTTTATATTCGGTTACAACAAAAATTTTTTCCAGGCGTCTTTCTTCAAATATTTTCGTTAATATAATACTCCAACAATAATAGCTACCATTTTGTTTTTGTGAAGGAAAAATCATAAAATGGCTCTCCTGCCAGAGTAGGGCTGGCGTGTCAGACTCTTACTGACTAGCTTTATTTAGCTATGAAATGAATATTTCATCTAGAACAGACTGGTTAGCATCCTTTGTTACCTGCGTTGGCCTATGGACAACCACTTTAATAGCAACCTATGTATTCCTTTGCCTCAGGAACCTGAATAAAATGTTATTGAAACATATGTACTTTAAACTAAACTAACTTAACTCACTTACTTACTATATCTCACGACGACGGTGAGTTAACGTCATTTTTTCTGTTTTACAGTTTAAGATATGTTCAACAGGAAATTTGTGAATTTTAACAATTAATATTTTAGTTAAAAACAAGCAAGTAGTAGTTGGAGTCAGTGTTCCTCAGGGCGTCATAGTGCGCGGTAGTGTAGTCACTAGAAGAAAATAAGAAATCATATTCTGGTACTTAGTGCTTACTGAGTGTGCAAGAATTATGTCGAAGATGTGGTCTAACTCGAAGTATTTCCTAAGGAATACTTCCAAACCTTACAATTTGGAAAAACTCAATAAACGCCAGACACAGCAGACATCGAATACCTTTGGTTTGACCTCCGCTATATCTCACGATGTTGAGTTATCGAGAATTATTCTGGAGAAAAACAATCAACTGCAAGAATATCTGACTGCGTTCGGTGTGTTCGAATCAGAGCAAGAGACCCAGCAGCGTTGCGAGGGGCTCTGCACTCTGCACCAGCTCGTGAGGCAGTGGGTGAGGGTGGAGTCTCTCAGGTAGAACATGCCTACTGATGTAGCGAGCTCTGTCAGAGGAAAGGTGTTTACTTTCGGCTACTACAGGCGGGGGTGAGTGTTTTTCATATGTCAAATTGTTCATTCTTTACTAGAAAAAGTTTAGACCTTTGAGACCTTTGAGGAAGTAGCTCGGAGTCCTTGTTTCTCAGAACGTGGTAGTGTGGTTGTGTGAGACGACTTGAGCCTGAGTTATTTGTTACTCGCTTAGAATCCTACGATTGATATTTGTACAAATTGCTTACTGTGTGTGTGTTAGACAAGTTAAGAATCATGGTCTAACTCGATTAAGAATTACTTCCAAACCCTATTATTTGGGAAAACTTGATAACGCTAGACAACATTTAGAGCTTTGCGTTAGCGATGGCCAACTCCAGTTATCTAACTCGGGCAACCCGAGTCAGCTAGAGTCAATATTTCCGCAACTCGGATTGACTTGATGAGAGTTTTAACACAGAAGATAAGATATTTGTTTTGTTTTTGTTATTACTACTTCGTTCGTAATAATTTGTACTGTTTAATAAGTTTGGAATGGCTCCGGAAAATAGAAAACGTGTGGCGTGGGAGTTTTTGTCGAAAATAGATAGGAACACTAAAGTAGAATGCAGTTTTTGTTCTAGTCAATACAAATTTTGTGGAAATACCACTACCTTAGTGAATCACTTAAAAAAATTCACTATAGAATATAGTGAAACCGTTAGCGTTGGTGCAAATTGTCCCAGGCCCAGGAACGACTGTGCAAAGAGTAGTGACCGTGGTCGTGATTAATTGCCGATGCCAAGTGTGTCCGGTCTTTGTGAAGGAAAATCGGGAATAACATTATACCGTTGGCGGTTTTTCTACTGAGCCTCTACAGCCTCTTCCAATGCGGGCGCGACAGATGCGATTAAGTGCCCCATATAAGATAAATAAATCAAAAAGCTGGTGATGAAGCGTTACTGGATCTCAATTCAATAGACATGCAGCCCCTTCAAATTGAAGAAAATAAAGGTATCATCTAGAAAAAAAAATCAGAAATGCTAGAAGAAAAATACAACATTTGCAGTTCAGAAGTAAAACAAAAACTACAGGATGAAGAGTATATTGCCTTTACAACAGACATTTGGACTTCAGACGGCCAAAAAAGTTACATTAGTGTAACTGCCCATTTTATACAAAATTCAAAATTAAAATCACTTGTCATTTCAAAATCCGAACTTGCTGACCAGCATACGTCTTTAAATATAGCAAACGCTTTGCACGAAATTTAAAACGAATGAAACATTTTTGAAAACATTGTTACCATTGTGACCGACAAACCGAATGAAATTTACTGTTAAGTTATTTAAAAAAAAAAAAGAAATCATTTCTGTGTTGCGCACATTATAAGTTTAACAGTCAAAGAATGCATTTTTGAAAAATAGCGCTGTTATAAACGTAATTTCAAAACGTCGCGCCGTCGTTATGCACTTCAAGCAGAGTACAAAATCCTCAAATGCACTTAGAGAAATGCAAACACAAATGAATTTACATATAGTGAAACTAAAACAAGACGTCCAAACGAGGTGGAACTCAAGTTTTACTTAGAGATTGTAAGAACGAAAGTTCTCTTATCTGCAACAATTCCTCTGCTTACATCATCTTCGCTAAGCTTGAATGCGGAGCACTGGTTGATAATAGAAGACTGTTACTCTTTTACAGCCAATGAAAAAAGTCACGTCCGTTTTATCTGGCGAATCGTATCCGACGCTATCATGTATTATTCCAATAGTCAGAGGACTACAAAGTTCGATTCAATATAAGTCTCCAAAAAACCGCTGAAGTCAGAAGACATGTTCAGCGGTCGCTGCTGGAAGTCTTTTAATGATGAAAGAAGATTAAGTGTCTATGGGTCCAACAGAACAGCAGCTAAAGCCACCTTATTGGATCCACGCTTTAAAATAAGGTTTTGATTTTTTCTCTAAATAAGTTAAGTTTAGAGCTTTGAGTTGGTAGCATTACTAGTATTGACATTGTCTTTAAATGGCTGGTTTTATATTTACATAGGTATACAACAAAGGCGCTGACATTGACGCACTGTGTGAGGGAAGAATATTTTTACCGCATTTTACAGATTATTGAAGGACCAGAACAACTTATAGCTTTCCTGATTTCGTTTCCTATACAATAACATCGGGCGATAGATACATACCCCATTACTAATCGCGTTGTTTTAAAAGTAATATATCAATTATATGTTGCAAACGAATGGCATTCATTGTTATGCGGATGACGTAGTAGGGTCCAATTGTAGAAAAAGTCTTCGTCGTTCCAGTGAGCAAAGTGAAATTAATGGAATTCCTTTAGATTTATTCTTCGCAAGACTTCCTATTTTGGTCGCTTTCTGAATTCTACAGGCTGCGAGTAAGTGAAATAATAAATTTTATTTATTTAATGTACTTTCCGCCCTGTTAAAGTATGATCAAATAAAAATTTAGTTTTTTTAACAACATTTTATTACATGTGAACCTATCGCACTTTTTTGAGTCGAAGTCAATGCTAACCCTTGGAGCATACCTTCACCTTCAACATGTCCAACTTCACAAGGACCATCGCCATGGAGGAGATAAAAACAGTGCCTTAACACGATATCAGTAATTACCTACTTAGTATGTCACGAGTGTCTTGACTTGTGACAAATTTACAAAAAGTTCAATGTCTAATATTTAAGTGACGTAGACTTATAACAATTTGCCTGGTGATAAAACTTTATAGATTTAAAATTCTCAATTGCTTACAGGTCTAACGACAAGGGTCGATATTTTATTAAACAAATGTGGGTGGGCTGATCGATTTGAGAGTACAGAGTTTGTCTCCCAGTACAAGTTCTACATAGTACTAATGGCTTCCTCACCTGCCCAAAGGACCAGCTGCTGGGGAAAGAGCTCAGTGAAAGAAAATACAAAACCTAATCCGTATCTGACACATTTTACTAACACTTTCAAGCTTTATCTTTAGAGCATTCAATCATTATATTTTGTATCAAGTTATTACAGACAATGTCAGCATGTATTTATTTAAAAATGCTTGCTTCTTAATGAATCACTAGACCGGAAATAACATTTCAATTCAGTATCCTACTATTTTTGCTAATATTTATAGTTTATATAGTTTAAATTTCAGTTTGAAATCACAGCCGACTATAGTTGGATGTGATTCCATTTCAACACTGACAATTGATAGTTTGGATATAGGATAAGGAAGTAGCTTGGATTCATTGTTCCTCGGAGCGTGGTTGTGTGAGACGACTCGACGCTACGATATGATTAGTATTTGTATAAAGTGCTTGTTGTGTGTGTTAGACAAGTTAAGATTCATTTCGAGGATTTGGTCTGACTTGACTCAGGAATACTTGCAAATCCTACTACTTGGGAAAACTTAATGAACGCCAGATACACCAGGGATGGATATTTTTGAGCTTGGATTTATATTAACCAAACCTGAAACGAAAACGAAATCGAAACCTGTCGATCTGAAGAAAAACGAGCAATTGCAAGAATATCTTACTTCAAACAGTGTGTTCGAGTTAGAATAAGAGACCCAGCATCGTTGTGAGGTGCTCGGTACCCTGCACCACATCGTGAGGCAGTGGGTGAGGGAGGAGTCTCTAAAGCGGAACATGTCTGCTGATGTAGCGAGCTCTGTCGGAGAAAAGGTGTTTACTCTCGGCTAGTACAAGCAAAGGGCGAGTGTTTGTAATATATCGACTTGTTAATTCTTTTTTCAAGTTTAGAAAAGCTTTGAGTCTGAGACATTGCAATTGATTTCATATCAACACAGGTACACAACAAAACGCTGTATGAGGGAAGAAGTTTTTTAACCGCATTTTCCAGACTACCGAAGGCGCAGAAACAGGAAAATACAACGATTTGTTCGACTGTTCCCAGTACATGTAATTATAACGGGCAATAGACACATAATGTATGTATCCCATTACTAATCACATTCCTTGTAAGAATTTTGACAGCAAACATGACGTTCTTTCGAAACGTTGATTTTAATTCATAAATTAGCGAAAACGTAGAGGAACTAAATTTGGCAGTATGAGCTGGATTATCGTAAAATTTTAATGTTGAACTTTTACCGTTAAATTTGTAGTATATTGACAAGTTTATGATCGTAAAGCGATTCGTTCTCATTCAACGTTTATGTTTCACAACTCACCTAGTAGAGCTCAGCGAATTGATTTCATGCCATTCTTATTTTTAACATTAAATGGCTGCGAGGAGTTATTTTACTTGGTGGATGGTAGCAGAAGCTGCTGAAAATGATCGCCGCGAAGTAGAGCGTCGAAACCTTCATTTGCGACGAACACTATTAAATCTCCTCGCGATCTCGGACACCCATTGATCACTAATAAATTAGTGATCGAAGCGGACACCCCACTTTATTCAACAATATCGGCTGAATAAATGGGGTTATAAGTTTCTATGAGACTTAACTAATTTAAGAAATTGTCAATGAGTCTCACTAGAAATAAAAGTTAAGTCAATTAGATTAATTACATAAATTTTTAAATTGTTTTAGGTACTCTACGCATTATTGTTTTATGCGAATGGTGATTACCAGAGGGTGGTTGGCGTGGCTAATTGTTTTTTGCAAGAAGCTATCAGCCGCTTTGTCCACCAAGTGACTGAAGCGCTCAACTACCCCAATATGTTAAAAGACTTTGTGAAGTTCCCAACGACACGTGAAGCTAGAGAATAAGTCAAACTAAGGTAATCCGCAGTTTAACACCATACTCATGCTTTGAACACTCGCTAGGGGATGACTTGTTAATTATGTTTGTCTTTTTAGTTTCTATAACATGTATGGAAAGCCTGGAGTGTTGGGAAGTGTGGATGGCTCACACTTCAAAATTGTAAAGCCGAAGATGGAGATTAAGCACTTATTTTACTGCCGCAAGCAAAATCATTCAATTAATGTGCTAATGGTAATATACATGGTATAATTTTAGAAACATAGTTTAAATAAAACAATCTACACAATAAAAAGCTTCATAATTATAATGTATGCATGATGTGTCTTCTCTAACTTTAGGAGCACAAATCTTCAAGTAACTTTGCTTAATATTGTTTATAGGATAGACAGTATACTTTGTTGGAGTTCCTAATAGAATATTAAATAAAATTTAAAAAACCTCATTGTTTAAAGTAATGTCTATAAAATATTAATAAAGTGACGAAATAACATCTCAAATAAATTATGATAATGTTGATTTATTTTCTTTACACATTCACATTATTTCTAGGTGTGCGATCACAGGGGCCAAATCGTGAGTGTTAACCCTAAGTATGGTGGTGCCAGCCATGATGCCTTTGGGTGGGAAAACAGTCTAGTGAACCAGTACATGCAGACATTGTACCAAAAACTTACCTAGAAGCCATACAGACTGGATACCCTACACTCTGGATACCCAAAAAGACCGTGGCTGATGACTCCATACACTCATCCAGACTCTGGTTCTGCTGCAGACACATACAACAAGGAACACCGCAGTGCCAGAGTTATAATTGAAAACACATTTGGACGCCTGAAGAATAATAGGTGGAGGTATGTGTGCAAGGACAGGATTTTGCACTACAAACCCAAAAGGTGTGCACAAATTATTGTTGCCTGATGTGTGCTGCATAACATACTCGTATATCTACATTTTAATGTACCTGAAGCCGTTATGGAACTAACGGTTATCTTAAAAAGTTTTTTTTTTCTTTTATTAGAGGTTCGAATGACGGATGACGCAATATTAGACCTAATGATGGACGGAAATGTATCAGAAATGAAAGATTTCGAAGACGAAGACATTGATTTTCAACAAAGCAAGCTTTATTAATTTATTTTTTCGTTAATTTTTTTTTGTGGAAAGCCTGTGTGGCTTTGACAGCTGATTTATGATTGTCCTTGTTTTTTATTTAATTAATTACAATAATATATTCTATTTTTAAATACAATATTACCTGAAACCACCTCATCACTGATTATTAAGTGTGATTTATAAAGTTTTCCAAGTTTAATTGCCAAAAATAGTGAAAATTGTGAAGTTACTAAATATACGGTTACCGGCATTAAGGATTCGCTGCATTGTCATCTCGATATCAGGTAAAATACAGTATTATTTTAACGAAATTAGGTATTTTGCCTATTTATTTTCGTGTTTACATTGATATCATTTAGCGCAACGAACATTCGCGATCAAAATAACAATAAAAGTTACCTTTTAGTTGGTGGCACAACTTCTTTGTCTAAGCAAACTTTTACTTAACTCTAGTAACTTCCTTACCTTAATAAGTGAAGTTTATTAAGTATAAACTTCAGCTTCCATTATAATTTTCTAATTCTATCTCTTACCTTTAAACTTCCAAAATGATTTCAACTCGCAAAGCCTATGCTCTCCAAGAGGAGTCTAAACTCAACCTGGCTTTGAGCGAATTGAAGGCATCAAAGGAGTCGTGTGATCAATTGTTGGGGGAAAGGGATGACAAAGAGAGGGGATTATTTTAAATCAAAACAAGAAGCTGAAACGTGAAATGGTTCTGTTAAACATTTGAATGTTTAACTGAACCATTTCACGTTTCAGCAGCACACAGAAGCTATTGAGGCCCGGGATAGGCTCCAATTCGTTGTGGACGAATTAAAGCAATGTAGCGATGAGTATGAAACCACCTTAAATGACAAAGCTCTACTAAAACAACAGTCTACATGAGGCCAACAGTCAAATCTCTAAACTGGAAACATTAAACTTTAACATCACGGACGGCTTGAATAATGGTTTATTCAGCGAGTTGGTGTCAGCACACGCTTTTCCACAGCAATATAATGATGTAGATTTAAATCTATTAACTACAGATCAGACTAGAAATAATGATGCATGTCACCCAGCGAAATTTGTTAGTTCTAGTAATAAGAAGCTTTAGAAATACATAAGAATTAGTAAATTTATAACTAAAACAAACAGACTAGTAAAGAGGCAAAAGTTCTTCATAAAAAATGTAAAATTAAATAGAGAACGTTTCCAGCTAGGGAAACAACTTAGTTAATACTCTTCTAAATTAAATCAAAGTGTTAGGAAATATGAAACTGACACCCAGGGCCTGCAGTAGAACTAGAGCAATTAACATCCAAATTAGAAATAATGTCAAATAAATATAGTGCGTCAAAAAGGCAAATGAAGGAATACATGTTGGCAATAAATGAGTTGGTGAGTTCACAAGAGAAACAGTGTGAGAAGTGCGCTCCTGATGCTATACTGCCTGCTGTTTCTCTGCCAGCATGTAAAACCACCTTACCTCATGGTGGAGGTTTACTGTTTCCTAATAGATGCAATCCTAGTAGTCATAATATTGTGATTTTTACCTCAGTTCTGCAGCATATGCCGTTAAAAAAATTAGAAATTTAACAGATGTAGATACAGCGCGGTTAGTTTATTAAGTTATTTTCACAGCATCATGTCATACGGTATTTTGTTGTGTTGTTGGATGCTGCTGACATCCAGTCTATTTTTGTTTTGCAGAAAAGGGCTATTCGATCAATCTATAATCTTAGTCCGAAGCATTCTCTCAGAGAATTATTTAAGGAAATTAAAATAATGACAGTTGCCTCTCAATATATTTATGAAAATGTAATTCACGCTCATAAAAACAAAAGCTTATTTAAGAAGTATAGTGATATACATAATTCTTACACGAGGGGGAAAAACAAATATTTTGTGCCTGCCTCCAGGCTTCAGAAAATAAGTAATTCGTTTAAATGTCAATGTATACGCTTTTACAATAAAATTCCTAGCGATATGCGAAATTTGAACCTCAATAAATTAAAAGTGTAATAAAGGCTAAACTTTACTGTAAAGCATTTTTTTTTACTTGCTATAAACTCGTGCTTGACTGCGATCCTACCTGATGGTAAGCAGTGATGCAATCGTTGATGGTAAGGCGCACTAGTTTATTAAGAGCCTATTCACACTAGCCTTGAGACTATAAAATAAAAGACTACTTAGAAGATAGTCAGGCTTGGGAACGAGCCGCTGTAACGTCTGCACAGGTCATGTTGACATGTTTGTAACATAAGTTCACTTTTATATACAATTTGGCATTACGTTTATTTTTTTATACAATGACATTATCACATATTTTGACATTTTTTTATTTATTTATTGACATTTTTATTATTTTATATTATTGTTAGTGTAAGGACCGTGTGAGTCATACCGTGCTTTTTGATTACCAGTTATCTAGTACTGTACGAGTACTTGCGCGACCTACTATCCCATTACGGAATAAGAGGTGCATCTCTGGACCTTCTTACCTCATACCTGAGTAATAGGGTTCAGAGAGTTGAAGTAAACGGAGTGGTTTCTGCCGGGTCTGTTGTGAAGATGGGTGTTCTGCAGGGTTCTATTCTCGGCCCGTTTTTATTTCTTATCTATATTAATGACTTGCCTTACCTTGTAAGGGATAAACACGAGATAGTGCTGTTTGCTGATGATACCTCACTATTATTCAAACTCAGACGACGACAATTAGTTATTGACAATGTAAACAGTGCTCTCTCAGAAATAGTTCACTGGTTTGGTGTTAATAACTTATTACTAAACGAAACTAAAACTAAATGTATTAAATTCACAACACCAAATGTTAAACAGGTAAAAACCAGTGTGCTTGTCAAGGGCGAGGAGTTGAGTCCTGTAGATACAACTGTCTTTTTAGGTATAACCCTGGACGCTAAGCTCCAGTGGGGCCCTCATATAGATGGCTTGTCGAAGAAGCTCAGTTCTGCAGCATATGCCGTTAAAAAAATTAGAAATTTAACAGATGTAGATACAGCGCGGTTAGTTTATTTTAGTTATTTCCACAGCATCATGTCATACGGTATTTTGTTGTGGGGGAATGCTGCTGACATTCAGTCTATTTTTGTTCTGCAGAAAAGGGCTATTCGATCAATCTATAATCTTAGTCCGAGGCATTCGCTCAGAGAATTATTTAAGGAAACTAAGATACTGACGGTTGCCTCACAATATATTTATGAAAATGTAATTCACGCTCATAAAAACAAAAGCTTATTTAAGAAGCATAGTGATATACATAATATTAACAGTTTGAGTACTTGCGCGACCCACCCAAATGTTCTTTAGATCGGTATTGTTCGTCGGACAACTCAGCAGCACTAGCTATACTGGTTGCAAACTGACACTTGCGTGCCTGTCTTCAGAACGGGTCCACTTAAACTGGTGTGGTTCTTTCCTCAAAAGACCACTACAGAATGAACTTGCACGATTCTCTCACATTATGTTATTTTTACATTGTCTGGACTTGAAAAGAGACTGACCTCTGAGTTTGTTTCGGCATTTCTTCTCAGAGTAGTCAGATAGGAAATGCCGGCTTCATCTAGTTTTTCACATATAAATTGACGTGTAAAAGTGCCGTTTTATGGCCTATTTGCAAAAATAAATTCATTGTTTCATTGTTTCATTGACCCACCCAAATGTTCTTTTGATCGGTATTGTTCTTCGGACAACTCAGCAGCACTAGCTATACTGGTGGCAAACTGACACTTGCGTGCCTGTCTTCAGAACCGGTCTACGTAAACTAGTGTGGTTCTTTCCTCAAAAGACCACTACAGAATGAACTTGCACGGTTCTCTCACATTACGGTATGTTACATTGTCTGGACTTGAAAAGAGACTGACCTCTGAATTTGTTTCGGCATTTCTTCTCAGAGTCGACAGATAGGAAATGCCGGCTTCATCTAGTTTTTTCACATATAATTTGACGTGTAAAAGTGCTGTTTTATGGCATATTTGCAAAAATAAATTCATTGTTTCATTAATAACGCCACAGCCTCCTCCACCGCTGACGCAGTCTCTACCATCTGTGCAACCTTCCTGCCCACCGGTATTATCAACGTCGCATCGTACTTCGCCCCGAGAAAGGTCGGTAAATTTACCCTCTGAGCGATCCACATCAGCCGCCAGTGCTCGGGTCAGATCAACAAGCATTTTTCGAGGAAGAAGATCGTCATCAACTCTAACTAGTAGAAGTAGGAAAAAAGTGGTAGCATATTCCATTCGTAAATAAACTACGCAACTCTCTTCCATTGCCCACAAAACCAGTTAGGCGTCCCATCGACTAGTTTCGTAACTACATAGATAATGAGTTTATAGGAAAAATATCTCACTGTACTAATATTACCTACGAACTACAGGCCATAAATTGAAAAGTACAAGCAATGAGATCGCAAATCATCAAAAAAATAGGTTAGAAATCATCAGTGGTTTAATGTCACGGGACTGGTTCTTTACCTTTCACAATGCACTACACGTAGTGTAGTGGACACAGATTCTTTACCTGCAACCGAAAACGGAAATCCTGAACTAAATGGAATTCATATTCTTCACAAGACTCTTTTTTGGACGCTTTCTTTCTTTTTTAGATCCTACAGGTTGGGAGTAAGTTAAATAACTATTTTTATTTATTTAATGCTCTTTACGCCACTTTATATCCAACTCCACCAGGACTATCGTAATGCTGGAGATAAAAATCGGTAAGCACGATATCAGTCATTACCTACTTAATATTATGTAAATGAGTGTCTTGACTTGTGACAAGTTTACTAAAAGTTGTGAAAACGTCATAGATTTAACATTTTCAATTGAATATAGGTTTAACGGCAACGGTCGATATTCTTATCTATTTGAGAGTATAGAGTTTCTCTACCAGTACAAGTTCCACTTAGTACTAATGCCTTTCTTAACTGAAAAATGTTATACAAACTAACATATTCTTAAGACCTATACTAACCTAAATCTTTGTCAAAATGATTCCCGTTTCATTCAAGCCGTTTACTGTGCATGCGGTGTTAGCCTTTAAGTAATTGTTACACTCGCAATTGTATTTTTCGTATAAATCTATAATCTATTTTTTGGTGTAGACAATTGTTGGCTAGCCTATAATAAATAAATAAATTAATTAACCTTCCCGAAGGACCAGCTGCTGGGGAAAGATCTCGGCGAAAGAAAATACAAAATATACTACCATATACTAATCCGTAAGTGACACGTTTACACAGACTTTCAAGCATTTTCTTTTAAGCATTCAATCATTTTTTTTAGTATCAACTTAGTATATACTATTACAGCATATATCTAAAAATGCATGTGTGTAACAGAATCACTTGACCGAAACTACTACTACTACAGCTAGTTCAATTCAGAATCCTAATATTTTTGCAAATATTTGTAGTTTATCAGGTGACCCGTCTGTACGTTTGCCTCCTACTCCTATTCCATAAAAAAATCTGCTATATATAAACTCTTTGTGCAGGTCAAAGATTTGATATCTGTGGAATACACCTTTGTTCCGGTTATCAATATGAACTTAGATGGAATTGAGACAGATTCTTTGTTCTCCAGACTTCCTTTTTTAGTTCCTATTCGGTTCCTACAAGCTGCGAGTAAGAGAAATAAAATAGACTTAATGCCATGGACATCCTCTTCAGTCAAACATTTGGGTAAATAATATTGGTATATATTGGTATATATAAACGCGTATATTCCAGTCATCAAGATGAGCTTTAACCAAATAAGGGTTAACCTGTTATTTGTTAGTCTGAATCTTCCTAAAATTCCAAGTAAGCATAAACCTTTGAAAGCTAGCTTCGCATATCCCAATACTAATCGCGTTTTTTGTAAAACTAACATGATCTTCAGTCTTTGTGCAGGTAAAGTATGCCATCTGTAGGAAAAGCCTTTGTTCCGGTAATCAAAATGAACTTATTAGAATTAATTTTGATTTATTCTTCGCACTCTTTATGGACGCTTTCTGTCTTTACAGATTTACCTACCTACCTTACGTCTGTACGTTTGCCTCCTACTCCTATTCCATAAAAAAATCTGCTATATATAAACTCTTTGTGCAGGTCAAAGATTTGATATCTGTGGAATACACCTTTGTTCCGGTTATCAATATGAACTTAGATGGAATTGAGACAGATTCTTTGTTCTCCAGACTTCCTTTTTTAGTTCCTATTCGGTTCCTACAAGCTGCGAGTAAGAGAAATAAAATAGACTTAATGCCATGGACATCCTCTTCAGTCAAACATTTGGGTAAATAATATTGGTATCAAACAATTTGTGTTAACGACTAAATGAAATGTGAAGACATTGCTGTTTTGATTTAATTAAATATATCAACTCATTTTCACATTAATACTAAAATATCTATTATTTAAGCGCCACCAGATTTGTTGACATTGACGCGTTATGCGTTGCACTGCGACATTTACAGAGTGTGACTTTCTCACTTTAGTCTACGAATTATGAAAAGAGGGCATTGTCTAAGCTTGTTTGACTGTTTTGTCAGTACAGGGAAGATAAAAATACGAATTGATTAGAGTGGGCTAACTTATTGTGGCTTTTTGCAGCTGGCAGAATTTTGAGCGATAGAAAACGCGTATATTCCAGTCATCAAGATGAGCTTTAACCAAATAAGGGTTAACTTGTTATTTTTTAATCTGAATCTTCCTATAATGCCAGGTAAGCCGAAACCTTTAAAAGCTAACCTCTAATGTCCCAATACTGATCGCGTTTCTTTTTAAAACTTACATATCTTCTGTGTTTTTGTGCAGGTCAAAGATTTAACATCTGTAGAAAAGGCTTTTGTTCCGGTTATCAAAATGAACTTTGATAAGTTGAGATATGTAGATTTATTGTTTACAAGACACTTCCTTTTTGGACGCTTTTTATGTGGATCCTATAAAAAATGTATTTTTCACAAGACTGGAAGTGAATACATACTGGAATAATATGTTTTGTTTTCATTAAAAGACTTACTTACCACGTTGCTGTTTTGATTTAAATATATCAACTCATTTTCACAATAACACTAAAATATCTATTGTTTAAGCGCCACCAGATTTGTTGACATTGACGCGTTATATGTTGCACTGCGACATATAGAGAGGAGTGACTTTCACACTTTTTTCTATGAATTATTAAAAGAGCCTTCTACAGATTGTCTATGCGTGAAGATAAATTACGAATTGACTGGAGTTGGGTCCAACTAACGTATTGTGTCTTTATGCAGCTGGCAGAATTTCGAGCGAAATTACAGGCCCGAAACCTGCCGATCTGGTGAAAAACGAGCGTTTGCGAGAGTTTCTGACCACAGACTGTGCATTCAAGTCAGAGCAAGAGACCTAGCACTGTTGTGAGGTGATCGGCACCCTGCACCAGTTCATGAGACATTGGGCGAGGGATGAGTGTCGCAGGTAGAACATGCCTGCTGATGTAGCGAGCTCTGTCGGAGGAAAGGTGTTTACATTAGGATTGTACAGGCTTGAGGTCACTTCCCTCCGGCGCGCGCGGTGCAGTAGTGTTTTTGATGACTGTTGTGCAACTATACTTTTATACATTTTTATTTATTTGTTTCCAGCCTGTGAGTCAGTGTCCTTTGTCTGAGTGCGATATACGTAAGCAATACCCGGATTCATAAAATTGCATTAGCATCCAAACATTTAAAAATGGACCATGTCATGCAACCTGTCACTAAAATTGTAAATTTTATAAGGAGCAGAGGACTAAATCACCGACACAGTTCAGGGAGTTTTTACAAGAATTGGACGAAAAATATTCCGATGTGCCTTAACTTCGGTCAACCGAAGTTCGTTGGCTCAGTCGAGGGGCAGTTTTAGAAAGATTTCTCTTTTTATGCAGCGATTGTCTCTTTGCGTCCAGAGTTTGTCACCTTCCCTGATACAAGTGAGGAGCAAGAGAAGTAAAAATGGAATTTTATAATAACTCAATTACACTAAAATATCTATTGTTTAAGCGCCACCAGATTTGTTGACATTGACGCGTTACGCGTTGCATTGCGACATATACAGAGAGTGTGACTTTCTCACTTTGGTCTACGAATTATGAAAAGGGACCATCTACAGCTTGTTTGACTATTTTGTCAGTACACTGAAGATAAAAATACGAATTGACTAGAGTGGTGTCTAGTGTGGGGTCTAACTAACTTATTGTGTCTTAGTGGAGCAGGCAGAATTTCGAGCGATAGAAAACGCGTATATTCCAGTCATCAAGATGAGCTTTAACCAAATAAGGGTTAACCTGTTATTTGTTAGTCTGAATCTTCCTAAAATTCCAAGTAAGCATAAACCTTTGAAAGCTAGCTTCGCATATCCCAATACTAATCGCGTTTTTTGTAAAACTAACATGATCTTCAGTCTTTGTGCAGGTAAAGTATGCCATCTGTAGGAAAAGCCTTTGTTCCGGTAATCAAAATGAACTTATTAGAATTAATTTTGATTTATTCTTCGCACTCTTTATGGACGCTTTCTGTCTTTACAGATTTACCATTAACAATTGTTTACAGGTGTAACGGCAACGGTCGATATTTTATTAAACAAACGTGGGTGGGTTAATCTATTTCAGAGTACAGAGTTTTTCTCCCAGTACAAGTCCTACATGGTACTAATATGGCTTCCTTCACAAAACACGAAAGAGCTCTGAGAAAGAAAATACAAAACCTAATCCGTAAGTGACACATTTTACATACACCTTCAAGCATTTACCTTTTAAGCATTCAATCCTTTTGTTAGTATCAAGTTACGATAAACAATTACAGCATATATTTAATAATGCATGTTTGTAACAGAATCACTAGACCGGAACTACTACTACCACAAGGTTGTTCCCTAAGACAATTTCAGTTTAATTCAGGACCCTAATAGTTTTGCATATTATATTTGTAGTTTATATAGTTTAAATTTCTAATTCAGGCTGAAATCATAGTCAACTACTGCTTAATGTTGATTCATCTTGAAAGAACAAGTAAATTGGTTAGTCATAGTTCCTAGGAGCGTGGTAATGGGTGGTTGTGTGAGACGACATGACGCTGATTTTGTTACTCGCTTAGAGACCTACGATTGGTATTTGTACTAAGTGTTTATTGTGTGTGTTAGACAAGTTAAGAATCATTGTCTAACTCGACTAAGGAATACTTCCAAACCCTATTGTTTGCGAAAACTTGATGAACGCTAGACAAAATTTAGAGCTCTGAGTCGGGTAGCATTTACTAGTGTTGACATTGTCTTTGAATTACTGATTTTATATCAACACAGTTACACAACAAAGGCGCTGACATTGACGCGCTATGTGAGAGAAGAAGTTTTTAACCGCATTTTACAGATTATTGAAAGCGCATAAACTGCAGCTTTCCTGATTTTTTTTACTGTTTCCTGTACAATTAATTATATCGGGCGATTGATACGAGGGTGCGTTTTTAAGTTCGCGGAATGAGAGGGATGGTGGGGGGTAATTATGCTCATTAGGTACCGTAACGTGTTCAGTGACTCATAATTAGTATATATACGAGCTTTCATTGTTATAAGATAACTAGTCTTTGAGTTATCGTCAATCAAGCAACAATATCCGGAGTGAAAAGTGAAAAATGGAAAAAATTGAATATCGTGCCGTTATAAAGTTCCTTACCAAGCAAGGAAAATCAGTTCCGACCATACTTAATGAGATGTCATCGGTTTACGGTGACTCTTGCCCTGGAAAAACAATGGTTTACAAGTGGCACAGTTTATTCAAACAAGAAAGAGAATCAATTGAAGACGACCCGAGGCCGGGCAGGAGTGTCGAGGTGACCACGCCAGAGCTTATCCATAAAGTCGAAAAAATTGTACTCGACGATGCTCGGCTAAAGAAGAAACAGATCGCAGAAATGGTTCGAGTATCGGATACAACCATTTTTTTAATTCTGCACGACCACCTTGGCATGACTAAGGTCAGTGCAAGATGGGTGCCGAGAATGCTCACGCCGCCGCAAAAACAACAGCGCGTACAGTGTGCATACATATGCGCATTTTTGGACCTCTGCAATGAAGACAAGGATGGTGTTTTGAGTCGAATTGTTACTGGAGACGAAACTTGGGTTCATCATTATGAACCTGAGTCGAAACAAGACTCCATGCAGTGGCACAAAAAGGGCACAGCACCCCCCAAAAAATTTAAAGTGTTGCAGTCAGCTGGAAAACTCTTGGCTACAGTCTTTTGGGATTCAGAGAAAATATTGCTGATCGATTATAAAGATAAAGGTGTTTCTATAACCAGAGAATACTACGCTTCGATACTGGAGCGATTAAAAGAAGCCATTAGAGAAAAAAGACGGGGTAAATTGACGAGAGGTGTGCTTCTTTTGCACGACAACGCGCCCGTCCACAAGAGCCGCGTTGCATTGGCTGCCCTGCATAAAGTAGGGTTTGATATTTTAAATCACCCACCCTACAGTCCAGACCTGGCCCCCAGTGATTATTATCTTTTCCCAAAAATAAAAAATGAGCTGCGGGGTAAGAAATTTTCCACCGATGATGAAGTCAAGGAGGCAGTTTCGGCGTATTTTGAAGACAAAGATGAAACATTTTTTTTTTGTGGGTATAAATAAATTAATAGAAGGATCTGAAAAAATGTATTCGTCTTGCAGGTTTTACATATTGAAAAGGAAAAATAATCTGGTTTTTTATTTGGACACTGCCCCCCATTCCGCGAATATAAAAACGCTCCCTACGTACATATTCCAATACTAATCGCGTTTCTTTGTAAAACATATCTTCTGTGTTTTTGTGCAGATAAAGATTCGACATCTGTGGAAAACGCCTTTGTTCCGGTTATCAAAATGAACTTTGATGGAATTGAGATAGATTTATTGTTCACAAGACTTCCTTTTTTGGATGCTTTTTCCTTTTTTTATGGAAATGGCGTTGTTCGAGGATAGCGGTTCACGAGGACGATATTTTGATGCCACTTTCAAGCATTTTTGATGCATTCAAGCGTAGAATCAGCGGCAGTGTGGACTCATCGAAATCATTTAATTAAATTTGTGTTAACAGATCATTTCAAATTAATCGCATTCAAATTTAACAGAACAGACACTGTCCCTGAAGCCAGTATAGAAATAAATACATATTTTTAGTTAAACCAATTATGCAATGACTTCCTAGAACTAAATCTTGTCACATGGAATTACTGAGAAGCTTGGCACAGCAAGGGTATTGCTGATGGCATTTTAATATTTTTTATTTAACGATACGACGACGCTTAACAATATTGCCAGAAGAAACCTAGCCTAGTGTAGCAGTGAAGTACGAGATAACTCGTTGTAGCAGTGTAGTAGACATGTTTAAGTAATGCGAGTAATGCATTACGCGTAATATAACCCGACCGCGTAGACTAATATCACACATTACTCGACTAAATTAAGCATCACACATCACACTAAAGCATTACTCGGTCGCGCAGCTCTAGACATGACTTGTGCGATGGGTGATGTGATGCGGTGTTTGTTCTGCCTGCAAGCGTTCGGCAGAGTTCGGCTAACTTCGGAAGGAATCGTCAATATTCGAGAGACCGAGCGGCGAGCGAGGCAGCCCCGCCTCCGAGTCCGCAACCGAACAATTCGGTTTGCCAATTGCTCTTTGATTTAGAACTGTATGCTTTAAGACATAAGGATTACATTTTTATAAAGTCACTCATCGTAATTCAAGTATATAAGTACTTAGTCGGGTCATAAGTTCTGTCACAAACTTTTGATGTAATAACTTATACGCCTTTTGACAATTATTTAAAAATTATATATGAAATGAAAGGTCATTAAATGTACAATATAATTTTATTTACATTATTCGAAATGCCCTCCCCCATTTTGAACACATGCCCTTAATCTACGCGGCCAGTCATCGATCGCTGCACGCACCACATTCATATCTATGTCTGCCGCTGCTTTAACCAGAGATGCTCGGAGAGACTCCAAATTCGGGTGAGGTTTAGCACAGACTTTTTCCTCCAAATATTGCCATATCTTGTAGTCCAGTGGGTTTAAATCTGGACTAGAAGAGGGCCAGTCTTCATGCCGGATGAAGTCAATTCCACGAGCGATCAACCAGTCTTGCGTACTTCGTGCCTTATGAGCCGGTGCAGAGTCCTGTTGGAATATCCAATGCCTGTTCCTGAACATTGTCTGAGAAAGAGGTTCCACTATGTTTGTTAGGACAGTATTTTGATAAACTTCGGCACTAGTTCTCACACCTTTTTCACAGAAAAACACCTCAGTTACGCCTGAATATGAGACTCCAAGCCAAACCATGAATGAGGAAGGGTAATGCCCACGCTGGACCCTCGCAATACGCGCGCTTGCTTCTTCACTGCTGTGGGCATACACCTTATCATTTTGTTTGTTAAAACTTTCTTCAATAGTAAAAATTTTTTCATCCGAAAAAAGAATTTCGCGGTATTTTTTTCCCGCGTACCGTCGTAGCAAAGCGCGGGATCTGTCTAGCCTAATTTTTTTTAAACGCTCGTTCAAAAAATGTCCTGTCTTTTTACGATAAGCTCGTAGTCCCAGGTCTTCATTTAGTACTCTTTTAACAGTGGTTCTGCTTAGCCCCATCTGCAGAGCTAGGATTTTTTGTTTACGTACGGGATTTCGTTCGATTCGCGCCTTCACTGCTTTGATGACCTTATGTGTCCGAACTGTGCGAGGTCGGCCGCTTCTCTTACGATCTTCGAAGCTTGACTCTTCGGTGTATCGTTTGATAGTACGATAAACAAACCGTAACGTTATTTTCAAATTTTGAAGAATATTGAAAATGTCTTTTGGCGCGTAACCACAGCGGTGCAACGCGATAACCGCGATTCTGTCTTCTTTATTCGACCACTCCATATTTAAAAATGAATAAAAAATAATTTCTTTTTTATTTTCTACAAGCGCGAAAGTTCTATTTTTAAAATAAGTCGAAGAATTTCTGGCCAGTAATCGAAAATTAAAAATATAAGGTTTTGACAGAACTTATGACCCGACTAAGTATATACCTCGTAATTTCGCCGACACTTTTTTGAAATTTCTTTAGTTTGTTTGTTTTGCGTTTGCGTTCAAGGTCATGTTACGACTGCACTTATCGTTTTAAAATATTTCGTAATTTATTTAAAGTGAGAGTGATAGCGTGTTTGACATTTTGACAAGTAATACATACAAACTGGTTGAACAATACTTACTTGCTTCGTGTGAGTGAATGTGTAAATAAATTGGTATAGGTATAGACTTGGAAATAGTAAGTTAGTTATAGAAAATAAGTTGTAAATAATTAACTGTTAGTGAAACTGTCCAAAAGAAAGAGCAGCCCCCTTTGGAACCACTTTTGAGGAAGTTGTGCCTGGAAAGAAGGCAAAATGTGGCTACTGTTCCCGGGTACTGGCGGTTTCATCAAGCTCAATCGGAAGTTTAAGCCGACACATAAAATCCGTCCACCCGACTGTACAAATTAGCAGTAGCCGACAGCCGACAATAACACCAGCGGCAATAGAAGCATCAGACGGCGACATCATAGCATCAGTGGAGCCGGCAGCAGTACCCTCGAGTAGCGGCAGCGTGCAAGGTGAGGATCACAGAGCCGATAATGCTTTGTTTGTACGACTTGGCCAGAGATCGACCGCGGCTGCCCCTACAATGGCTGATTACGTGCAGTCAAAAAAACCCTGCCAAGACATCGAGTGCAACAGTTCGATGAACAATTAGTTCGGATGATTGCGAAGGGATATCACGCCCTTCGCTTGGTTGATGAAGTGGAGTTCCGCAAGTTCGTGGAAATGTTAAACCCGGGCTACACATTACCGACCCGGAAAACTCTTTCCGAGAGCCTACTTCCTAAGGTCTATAACAAAGTCTTAGAAACAAAGAAAAAGCAAATAGCTAAAGCTGCAGCTGTTTGCATTACTACAGACGCATGGACATCCTGTGTGCACGATGGCTATATTGCGGTCACTGCACATTTTATTGACACAGAAACGCACAAAGTATGCACAGTTATGATTGGGTGCTTAGAGTTTGAGGAGAGACACACCAGTGCAAACCTAAAAGGCTTTTTGGAGGCGAAGTTCCAGGAGTGGAACATATCACAATTCGTCAATGTAATAGTCAGTGACAATGCGGCGAATATTTTAGGTGCTGTGCGGCTAGGAGGCTGGCGATCTTTGCCTTGCTACGCACATACCTTAAATTTAGATACGATATAATTGATACGATGGATAGGGTGAAAGCCGTTATCGAATATTTTCATCGCAGCCATCCAGCGAAGAAGAAATTGGTGGAAATTGAAACTGAAGCAAGACGTAACTACGCGCTGGAACTCTACATATGATGCGCTAAACCGGTTGCTGAGGATGAAAGAAGCCCTAATTGCCACTTTAGCAATTATGAGGTCAGACATCAACCTGCCGCAAGATGATTGGGTCGTTATCGAAAAAGCCACTGAGATATTAAAACTAGAGATGAAGCGTATATACTAGAACAGATCCCGGGACTAGATATTTATCGATACTAAGTTGCATCTATTCCAACTTTCAATATACTTAGTCCACCTAGTCCAACTTAGTCTCACGTACTATGCGTACGGCACCCGTGGCGCGCTCCAGCCAGCGCGCTCGAATCAAAGTACCTACCTAGCTATAGCTAGTACAGGCGCAGAGCGCGGGGAAGCGAGATAGCACTACTTACTAGTCTTCTATGCCGCTCAGGCGCTCACTCATGTTTACCAAATCATTTGCTTGTTAGTCATTTGAATTTGAACCATATTTCAATGAAGATAAAAGTCACGCGACGCGCACTCGTGTTGTGCAAGAATATATGTACTTTATGCACTTGAAGTTTGCAAAGACTAGTATCAAATTTTAATACGGACTCGGACGCGAATGTGATCTTTATAGACGCGTACGGACGGCTCAAAGTATATACACGAACGTTTGATATTGATTAGCATATCGAATTAATGTGTGTGCGGACACCGGTGTCCTCTTGTGGTGTAATGAATTAAGAGTGATTTAAGGAAATTTGATATTATTTTTATACAAACATTAGCTAGTTATTTTTTTTAAAAATGCCTCCCAGAGGAAAAAGTGTAGCTTGGGATCATTTTACGGACAAGGGCCAACAAATGGCTGAGTGTAATATATGTAAAATACAATTAAGTTTTAAATGTTCTGTGTCAAACCTGACAAAACATTTAAACGAAAGCATCCATTTATAAGTTTAGTGGGAAGAAACGAAGTTCCAGCTCCAGTGATAGCAGCCCAGACCAGTCAGCAACCACCACCATCCGACCAAGTGCAATCATCACCTAGTACTCAAACTGCCGGAATAATTCGACAAGTTGAAGGGCAACCAGGGCCGTCCACTAACTTGGTGCGATTGGCACAACCAGGTTCGAGAACCATAGCTTCTTATATATATAAAAAGAATGCTGATAAATGTAAATCAGATATAGATAAACTAATCATGAATTTATTTATTAAGGATTTCCAACCATTCCGGATTGTCGAAGTCAAAGGATTTAGACAGTTAATTCAATATGCTTTTCCTTTTTATACTATTCCGACTCGCAAATACTTTTCAAACAATTTATTGCCAAGTCGCTACGAAAGTTTAAAGGTTTCAAAAATGGCGGAAGTAGCTAATGATGTTGAATCGATTTCCACCACAGCAGATATATGGACATCAAGTACAACCGACTCGTACATGGGTATTACTGGTCATTATATCAGTAAAAATGAGATAACTCTTAAATCAATCTTGTTGGATTGTGTTGTTAGAAGTATCACATACAAGTGCCAACTTAGCAACAGAACTGCTGCGAATAACAAACGAATGGCAAGTGTCCGGTAAAGTTGTGTTAGCAGTATCCGATAATGGGGCAAATATTAAGAAAAGTCCAAAATTTGGTTGGATCACAATTTTCTACAGACTTATGAATATAATGGCGTTGAGCATCCTTACACATCTTGTTGCTATGATTTTGAGCTGCAATACACTTTCACGATTCACAGAATTGGGTAGGCGTATCAGTGAAATACAAGGAACTGTCGCAGTGAAATACAAGGAACTGTCGCAGTGAAATACAAGGTAACTTATTGTAGCAGCGTAGTACGATGTAGTTTATTGTAGCGCTGTGTAGCAGCGTAGTACGACGTAGCATAGTGTAGCACGATGTAGCAGTGTAGTACGACGTAGCTTAGTGTAGCACGATGTAGCAGTGTAGTACGACGTATCTTTTGTACCAATCACTATGTAGCAGCGTAGTTCGGCGTAGATTAGTGTGGCACACTATGTAGCAGTGTAGTGTGACGTCGCGTACAGTAGCACTATGTAATCATAGTACGACAACTTAATCTATCACTATGTAGCAGGAAGAAATATTGAACAATATGCAGGAAGAAAAATTTTTTTCTGTGTCATAGTCATCACTCCATCCGAAAGAACAAGTAGTGGATCTCAGAGTTGTTCTTTTTTATGTTAAAGGTGATCAAACAAGCACACAAATTACCTAAGGGTAGGCAAGTGGCACCGCCATCTACATTCGGAATACCAAAGGAACTACTACAAGTGCGTTGCCGATCTTTTGTGGGTTATTAGAGATTTAGGGTTAGGGGATTTGAGGTTTGAGCATGGGGAAAGGATAAGATACGAAAATCGAACATAGGTATGGCAAGAAGTTCTTATTTGTTGCGACTTTCATTCACAAATTAACACATCAATTCCCAAAGAGTGTGTGATTAGATGTCTCCAATTCATAATGTATATAAACGACCTCACAAAATCATTCAACGAGTATTTTTTCTATTTATTTAATTAATTGATACTTTTTGGAGAATTGTTGCACAATGTTGGACTTAATGACGAAGTCATTTTCTAACAGTGCAGTACCTACAGACACAGCTCATGGTCGGTGCAACAGCTAAACTACAACATGTAGATGAGACTGTACTTATTTAATATAAACATATATTATCAAATCTACGGATTAATCATGATGATCAAATCACGTCATGTGTTCTATTTATAATAACTTAATTGAAAAACTTTTTTTTATTAAATAGGAGGCAAACGAGCAGACGGATCGCCTGATGGTAAGCGATCGGCGCCGCAAATGGACACCTGCAACACCAGAGGAGTCACAGGTGCGTTGCTGGCCTTTTAACTTACAGAAATTCTAAACAAAAAGCAACTTAGATGACATAATATAACCTTGACCATAAAACCATATACTTAATAATTTTATATATATATACATACAATAAAATAAGATTGGAGCAAATTTTAATTAAATTAAAAATGTTGCCTTACGACCCTCACCAAAAACACCCCCTAGATATCAAATTCATTTCTAATGACACAAATATAGAGACAGGTAAAGGAATTAATCCTACTCAGCCTATTTATAGATCGAACGAAAAAAATATAATTCCCATATTAAATCTTTAATTTCATTTTATCAAAATTTACTTGTCCTTCGAGTTTGAAATTTAAATTCGAAATTAACAAACAACAAACCTCCAAAGAGCGTTTCCAACGTCTATGCATGGAATTTATATTTAATTGGCATTATGTGGAAACAGTAGGTACACAGACCCTACACTATTCAAACAGCAAAAACGACGAATCAGAAATACTACCTAAGAAGATAGACAACTAAATTTCAAAGATCAAAAACTTTTAATTAACCCTTCCTTAGCCTTAAAGCCTTTGCTGTTCCCATGTACTCATTTTTATGAAGATAAATAGATATAATAGAGTCATGTACATAGATGTAATAGCCATAAACATATACATAAAGATTATAAGTAAGTACATAGATATAAGATATGAAGTTTTCTGGGGTTGGGAGTGCAAGCGCAAATAATGCACCGTGGCTCCGACCTGGAGCAGTCGAAGATACGAGGTGGTTTTTACTCAGTAAGTCAAGACACTCACTCTCGCCCCGGGTGAGAAAAATATTTTATTTATGTGACAGGCCAGCCAACGTGCAGACGTATTGGCCAATGATAAGCTATCCGCGCCGCCCATGGACGACGAGTTACGAGTGCGTTGCCGCCTTGGGTTCCGGAGATTTAAGGATTGGGCAGGAATGGAGGGAGGGTTAGGATTGGGCCTCCGGTAACCACACTTACACGGCGAAACAGAACTTTGTGGTTGTTTCACGCCGGTTTGCTGAGAGGCTGTGGTATCACTCCGGTCGAGCCGGCCCATTTGTTCCGAAGCTTGGCTCTCCCACGACTATCATTTCCTGATTTGAGTTGATATTTTTAGATTTAGGGTAAGTCTCGAACAGGATACAAAATAAAACAACAATAATCCCTTTTGTATATACATTTATTGTTTTTTTTTTCAATTTTATGTTATTGTTTACCAGATATATACTTTCATATATAATTATCAATTGTCTATAGAATATATACAACTTAAATACCTGAAGGTCCTTACGAACAACTACATTGAGTCTTATTATCTAGGTGGAATCATTTCGTTATATCTAATTGAACGTGAAAAATGCAATTTTCACACACAAAACGAACAATAAGAGTCTGATAAAGGGCAAATAATATAAAAAATTAAAACGGCAAAATTTATATTTACCCTGAATCTCAAGTAGAAGAAAATTTATTGCGATTAAGATGATGTAATATTAATTAATTAATTAATAACATTATAACTCGACAATCCTAGCGTGATCAGTCCTTTGGATAAATAATTTATCTTGTTTTCTCTTGAAATATGTCAGTTACTTAAAATTTAAGTCCGTATTTAATTGAATTATGCAGTATTTAACTAGTGTGCTTTTATTTTTGTTCCTATTACTAATTGTGAAAACCTGTAATTAAATTTTTGTCACTTACCATGGTTTTTTCCGTTGTTGGCGACTGAGTCTCCAATAAAATTTTGTCGACTATACTGCCAGTGTCGAGTGGTGACGGCAGAGTAATGTACCGTCGACTTTTAACTTTGTGGTAGTATTTACATGTTAGTAGCATATTTCTTGTTCAAATTGTATAGCTGATGGTTTCTCATGTGTTGATAAATAAAAAAGTAATATAATTAACATTGTTATGGTGAATAAAATTGGTTCGATTTAGAACACTAAATTCATAGATGTTGGTTTCCTCCTGGATAACTATTTCCAATTCGTATTTTTTTAAGATGTCCTTATTATACTTCTATTGAATAGCTCACATTATAGTTGTCGAGTCATAAAGTTTGAAAAAAGGTAAGCTGCAACACTGTATTGATCTATTTTCTTCCACTTTGTACTATCACTGACCGTTTGCAAGAAATTATATTTTGAAAGGTCAAACTTTAAGTAACTTGCCTACAAAGATTTCACACTCTTTTAGGTAGCTGACAGCTCACACTTAACGGAGATTAGTCTAAGGATCTTTTAAATTTTCGGGGTTCCGAACCCCGATCAAATCTATCATTTTCTATCATAAGCCCTTCAAAATATCAACGTCAATTTAGGTTTTAGTAGTTAATATTTAGAACGGGTGGGTCGGTAGGAACTAGAAAGTAAAAATGGTCGAGTTAACTTGTAAACATTCACGATAATACCCGTGCATACGTCTCTGTCAAAATCGCGGTAGGATAAAATAATGAACATAAAACGGAATAGCTTCCTCAGCAAATCCTTTAAAAAATGTTTGGTGAATTCTTCTTAATTAAAGATATATCAGTATCAAAATATTGCATCATGCAAAATCGCATAGTGCAATGCAAATTGCACGATGCATATTATTATAGTTTGCTTGTCATTTAAAATTGTTTTAATCACCTATTACATAATCTACTCTTTAATTAAACTACGGTAAAAGCCTACAAATAAGATGGCGGCACTTGCACCAGAAACCTATTTAGTTTTACCATAGCACTAACTCACAGATATTTGTTCTTAAAAATATTAGGCACAGAAAATCTTACGTTATGCGATCAACATGACTGGCGAGCTACATCAAAAATAATGTATGAAAATAATATACTTTACGAGAATTAACACTAAGGATTAGTAAATAAATGGAGCGCTATGGCTATGTGGTCTTACAGTGGACCATCCGACCAAGGATACGCATCACCACTCCGTCTTGGAGAACGATAATCCGTGCCGTGTCCTTCGTACGACGCGATTGTGAATCTACAAAAAATACAAGCAATCAGCACTCCGTTCGTCACTACTCCGTATTGTTAAAGCATCGGCAGTCATGCTGTCGCAACCGCGACGTCAATACATATACTTAGTTCCTTGCAAACGGCCTGACACCCCTAGCCCTACGTGTGACAGTGCCAGACTTACATGACGCCGTCCCGCCCTCGCGCCATCTGCAAATAAACAACACCCGAATATCTCGTACAATAATACGGACCTTCATCATATCACTTTATAACTCTAAAACATTTTTTTTTTACTTTTTTCCTTTATATAGTGTCTAATGATATTTTGATAACTTACGCAGCCACGTTGCGTTGTCCCCGTATCACATCTATGGAGCATACAAAATTATTTGAGAATAAGCAAAACTTGATAAATAACACAAAAGCATACATTTATGTGTAGGTATTGAACCTACGGTTTACGAGCACACCACTCTAGACACTAAGACTATATAAATATGCTAAATTATTGCATGCTAAATGCTTTAAAGAACACGATGAGACTACGATAAAAACTAGGCGATTAAACAATCCCACTAATATACATGATTAAATAGGTAAAATTGTAAAAGTTTAAAGCCTGTAAACTTACGTCGAACTAAGTTTCACGCTAGCCCGACCAATCGCGGCTGGCAACCGCTGGGTTCAGTGTGAAATGCCCATTACTTGGCATATCAATTATCTTATTAAATCTAAAATTGTTTCACTTAAAATTCCCACAGTTGTCGAGTTATTCCAAGACGTACACCTAAACAGATATGTAAAGTATCAAATTAGGTTCTGTCCGTGAATCTCAACGTTTCTACTTAATTTTCTATTTGCTCTCAGAGTTGGTAACAAATGAAGTGCTACTTTTGTTGGGGCTTAGACGAATATATAATAAATATTTGATCAAATCAGACTAGTCCTATAGAGAAAAACGATTATCATTATCATAAAATCAATAGTTATTCCAAATTGCCAAATTCCCAAAAATATTTTTTAATTGAAATCTAGATTAGCACTCCATTTGCTAGCTACTCTGTTATATATTAATGTACCTAATTGATAATCATGAATCATACAAGTGGATAAAATACTCACCATAATGAAACCGTCAGTCCTAATCAGCAGGGCAACACCAAAACGTCACACATTTGCACCATTGAAATTGCAATAATTGTTCGAATCTTAACTATCACAAGTTCTTAAACACTATAATCACATGAGTATGTTGATCACTTAGTACACTGTCTAACATTTACACTCGTTTTCTGGTGAGCTTGACGTTGGCGGTTCCATATATGAACCTGGTACGCCACTCCTCGTACTGCTACGTACAGGCGATGGAGTTCGACGTGGAGGGTGGATGCTCGGCCTTCTCCGTGGCGGGCTTCGGCCGCGCGATCTCGGCCTCGGCCCCCGCATGCTGCGTCGCTCCGTTGTGCAAGTTCACTTCGTATACGTTAGACGAATTTGAGTCCTCATTGAACGATAATACACCAACTTCCTCCGTCTGTGAACAGTTTAGTAAAGTTTATTTGTGCGTTGTTTCTGTTTGTGTTAGGTTTATTTCATGTGGTAATTCGAGAAACAATAAGTGCGTGGAAGCGTTTACTTAAGGTTTGATAAATTAAGTAGATTTTTTAGTTAAAGCAACCACTTATGTTCTTGCATGTTAGTTCACCAGTAACTAGCAACTGTTTACTTGTGACAACCTACTATTTTTGTTAAATTGTACACATAAACTGTTTTTGTTCCTTTATTAATAAACCAGCGGCCCACCCCCACATCGCACGTGTCCAATTATCTCGCTAACAATGAAAGGGTCCCTTTTCCCCTCTACTTTTCTAATATTTTCTTTCATATGAACCTTCTGACAATAATAAATGCAAAACAAAAGGAGTTGGCAAAATTGGTGCAGCCGTTTTTGAGTTTTGCGCTTACCAACACATTTAGCGATTTTTGTTTTTTTTTTACTTGCAGTAAACTAGTGCTTGACTGCGATCCCACCTGATGGTAAGCAGTGATGCAATCGTTGATGGTAAGGCGCACTAGTTTATTAAGAGCCTATTCACTCTAGCCTTGAAGACACCTAAATTGTATTCGGACGGAAAGACTGCAGCCGGCAAACTGTTCCAATCCCTCGATGTACGCCGTATAAATGACGAGGCAAAACGCTTAGTCCGGGCCGCAGGTGTCTCAACAACGTAGGGGTGGATATTTGCCGTACGCCTGGATTCATTTTAATATTGTAGATAAATAAAAGTTTGTCTATGCAATTCTGTCTGTGTCGAGTCTTTACGTTTTATCTATCCTACAAATGGTCTTGAGAAATTCCATTTGAATAAAAACTTTAATTAAAATTAGTAATTTAGAAATAAGTAGCAAAGTAGTTACGCTGCTCTCGGAGAGTCGCTTGGTCTTCTTGAGAGGTCCAGGCGGCGGTGGCGGGCGGTCGTGATTCTTGCGCTTGGTGCCCGAGGAGGTCCGTTCGCGACGCAGCAAGGACGCCGAAAGATATTGGTGCAACTGCTTACGTCTTACATGGCGTGCCTGTAATACCATCACAAATCAAATGAATTATGTACTTCAGAATGCATATAGGTTTTTTGCAAAAACATTAATAGCCTAACAGTCTATTAATGCTTACTTAAGCAACAACTTTTGTTCTGTGTCTGTTCAAAATGTATCAGATCATTAAATAGTTTTCATAAACTTTTATCTGGTGAATTCAAATTCTCTTTCCAAGATATGATTCTTTTTCATAAAGCTATAAACTGCATTTCCAACAGGCAAGTCTGCAAGATGAGAAAATCTGAACTTTTTCATTGTATTGTCTTAAGGGCAGCAAGTGTCTGTCCCTTAAAACTAACACTGTCACTATCTAGCGAGGTATCAGTTGCTGTTTAAAATTAGTCGAGGTGTGATACAGCTCCAAATTCGTGTCAGTAATTCGGGAGTAATGCAGACTAACAAACTTTACAGCTTTATTTTTAATAGCTACTGTCCCGCGGTTTCACGCGCTGCTCGGCTCCTACATATCGTAGCGTGATGTTTTATAACCTATAGCCTTCCTTGATAAATGTAGTACATTTATGTATACAAAAACAAAAAGAATTGTACAATTCGAACCAGCAGTTCCGGAGGTTAGCGCGTTCAAATAAACAAACTCTTTAGTTTTATAATATTAATAAGTATAGATTACAATTACCTCGATAGTCATGCCTTCTCGCAACATGTTAGTGTTCTCTGCTTGATAGTTAACGGCTTCGGTAAACGTCTGGATATCACACGTCAAATCCACATTCAAGTTTGTCTTCTCAAATACCAGCCCAATAAACCACATAGAACAATAATTCGCTATTACTTCACCCTGTAACAGAAACAGAAAATATATAAATATAAAAAAAATAATCTTGTGAATGACTGCACGGTTGGCGCGGTGGCGTGGCTGGGCAACTGGCTGCCGCGCAACGTGTCGCGGGTTCGATTCCTGCACGGAACAACTCTTTGAGTGATCCACAGATTGTTGTTCCGGGTCTGGATGTGATGTGCATGTGAAATTGTATGTTTGTAAACGCACCTACGACACAGGAGAAAATCCTAGTGTGGGGCAACGTAAAAAAAAAAAAAAAAAAAAAAAAAAAAAAAAAAAAAAAAAAAAAAAAAAAAAAAAAAAAAAAAAAAAAAAATCCAAGTATTCTAAGTAGTCTTAACATTTATTAATTTTCTGCAGGATTTTGCTTTAAAACCCATTCTATGTCCTCTCTCGAGTTCCAAACTATGTCTGTACTAAATTTCACACAAATAGGTTCAGTACTTTAAGTGTGAAGAAAAGACAGACAGACAGAGTTACTTTCGCATTTATATAATATTAGTTTGGATGTATGTTAACACGGATTTGATCCAATTGGGTATTTTCCTCAGTCTAAATTAATTCAAGATAACAACACAGTTAGATATTAAAAAATAATCCTACTTCGTTGATGCTTTTGACGATGTACTTAATTTTGAACTTTTATTGGTTACGTATTAATTTTGACTAGTTGATTAATAGAAAATAGAACTAACTCATAAAAGAAGGTACATCAAAATTAAACCTTATTATTGAAACACAATTGTTAAGATTCAAATACCTTATTTTTGAGTTATGCCTCTTTACTATTAAGCATACGAGTTGTCAAATATCGTGTTATACAATCAAAGAAGAAAATTAACAACATTAAAGGTTCCATCGCAGTACCTCATGCATTCCAATAAAAAATCCTTCAATCCATCTACAAACAGATCAATAGTTGTATTAAATCCCAAGAGATTGTTAAGCGGGACCAGGGTGCAATTAATACGGTAGTTTCCAACTAGTCAAATTCAATACTTATATCCAAATGTCAAAAACGATTCTTTTCTATAAAATTTGTGTGAAAAACTGAGTTATGACGTCATATATAGTTTTTTTAGGCGTCAAATAGTTTACTTATTTCTTAAAAATTAGCTATGTGTTTCGATCGATCATTGAATAAAAGTTTAATTTTTTTTTCAATATTTTATTATATTGAAACGTCGAAATTATTTTTGACCTAGGAAACTTCCCAATTGGAGACTTAGCACGTGCGATAGTCCGTTGCTTTTTACTGCGGCAGTAGTTTATTAATTTTAATTTTAGTACCATAAAGTTGAATTTGCCTTGTCAGGTCAGAGTACAGTCACCCGTACATCAGTAAACACACTTTGACCTTGAAACCGCCTCAATTCCCTACGATATAAGAGCTATTTTCGTAGTTGAAATGGGTACACTGATGTACTGTAAAGAAAATAAATACAAGAAAAAAGCATTTTTCTCATTAAAAATACGGAAAGCGCACTAATGGTTTTTCTGGTATTGTCAAAGGGCGGCGCTGATCGCTTATTGTTTTTATTTATTATCTGTTGTACTTACATTTTCGTTCTTTTTTACTTCTGGCGATGGGTCGGCTGGCATAGGAGCTCCTGATACAGACAAAAAATATTTATCTATACTAAAGAGGAAGCGTTTTGAATGTTTGTATTGAATAGGCTCTGAAACAACTTGACCGTTTTGAAAAATTCTTTATCTGTTGGAAAGCTGCACTATTCCCGGTAAACATAGGCTGTATACTAAGGGGGTAAAATCGCGGGACACAGTCAAGTTCTATCGGTTTAGGTAATTATTGTAAACTATCTTAACATTGACGTTGCGTTTCGCCGTGTGAGTGAGGTTACCGGAGGCCCAATCCTTCCCCTCCCCCAATCCCTCCTTAATCCCTAAATCTCCAAATCCCTAATCCCTAAAAGGTCGGCAACGCACTCGTAACTCCTCCGTTGCGGGTGTCCATGGGCGGCGCTGATTGCTTACCATCAGGTAATCTGTTGGCTCGTTTGCCGACCTATCACTTAAAAAAAAAAAAAAAAAAAATGCCTTTTTGTCTAAAAATTGAGTGTAAAAATGTTTACAATAAGGTAGTTTGGATAGATTGAAGATTAAGGTTATGTGGAAATATGTAGACCATTAAGCAGTTCAAAGACTGTAATCGAAGATATTATTACCAATTAATTGTTTCCAGGTCCTCTATTATATTCCTTTAAATAGATTAATTGGTAAGGAAGGTTTTATAGAACTCTATTAAAGATTCTCAATGATATTATAAGTAAAATGGTGTTGATAGATTACATAAATAACATTCGATTTTCAAAAAAGACACACTGATGCACACATGAACAATTCGTATGATTAGACGTCAAAGTGGGATGGCATGATTCAATAATCGCGAGTGAAAAAGAGACAAATATGAAAAAGTGTGCTAGTTAGCCACATTTTAATGTATCACTTGCTGAGCGCTTATGACCTATCTACACCTTTTTACTTATAATATCATTGTAGATTCTAGAATAAGTTGTAATTACAATTACCTGGTGGCAAGGCGAGAGGCTGTCCGTTATTAGTGTTAAGTGGAACTGAATTGTAGCATTCCGGGTTGACGTGTGCGATTGTGATGTGGGTGTTACGTTCCAATGTTGCTGTAACAAATATACAGTATCATTAGCATTTATAAAAGACTCGCCAAGATACGTCGGCGGTATTGTACACTGCTCTCATGAGATAATCGATCGAACATAAAACAGAATCTCGCTCGATCGCCGAAGCTTGAAGTCGTCTTTAATTAGTCATGCATTTGTAATGTAACTTTTATTTTAAATAAATATATGTAAAAGGACAAAATCGCCTCCTATCAGAGGTCGCTAACGTAATTAAGTAGAAAATGTTTAGCGTCAAAACAGCAAAGTGAGTGAATTAGACCTTTACATATAAGCTACACAGGCGATTTTGATTCAATTTTGACAGAAATAACGATATGAAATTTTCGAATAATACTTTCTCACCTAAATCTATCAACATATTAAATTAAAGGATATAGATATATGATATACTGACTGATTAGATGTCGAATTTTGCTCTCAATGAGCCCGCACCACTGAAGCTGGTCATCTGGACTGGCAGAGGAAGCCAAAAGCACAATGAAATGCTTGTACCGCGAGAAAAAGTTGGGGGCCTCAAACAAACGCTCCCATCCACATTTACCAAGCATTATTTCATCAGTTATCGCCAAACCTGAAAAAAATAAAATCTTATTTAAAGAACTACAAAATATCAAGCAAAATATTATTTATTATACTTTATTTATGTGATAGGTCGGCAAACTAGCAGACGGATTACCTGATGGTAAGCAATCAGCGGCGCCCATGGACACCCGCAACGGAGTAGTTACGAGTGCGTTGCCGACCGTTAGGGTTTAGGAATTTGGAGATATAGGGATTGGGGGAGCGGAAGGATTGGGCCTCCGGTAACCTCACTCACACGGCGAAACACAACGCTGCCGGCCGGCGTGAAACAATATCACTCCGGTCGAACTGACCCATTCGTGCCGAAGCATGGCTTTCCTATTCTTAAATACTTCTGCGTAAGAGGATCATACTTTGGCATTCATTGTTCAGTTCAAATGGCCAGTCCAAAATCAGCAATTTTGCTTGCTTGCTTGCAAAATTTGCTGAAAGCCTTATCCCGCATCGTGACAACACACTTGTAATTCATCTGGGGTTAGCAGAGAATATGCCGCATCAATTGCTCACCACGAAGTCGCTGTTGGGTGTAAGATACGGCTAAGAAAGGATATTCACGAGTTTTCTTAAGAGAGAAAAAATAAGGTATTTTCCAACTAGTCAAATTCAATACTTTTATCCAAAATAATGTCAAAAACTATACTTTTCTATGAAATTTGTATGAAACATTGAGTTATGACGTCTTAGTATTTTTGAGTCAAATAGCTTAATATTTTTTTTTTTAAATTAGCTAAATAATATCTAAAATTTAGTGTATCGATCGATCAATGAATGAAAGTATAGTTTTTTTTTCAATATTTTATTGTATTAAAACTTCGATTATTTTTGACCTAGGGAACTACCTAATTCAGAAGAGATAGAAACCTTACTTACCAATTCTAAATTCCTCCATGATGACCGTCCTAGTGGAAGCACATACATTGAATGTGGAATTTTGCTGCGGGTATGCTGGCGTGATGATCGGCATCAGGTGAAATCGGTCCGAAATGTTCACCTGGAATAGTACATTTTAATATTAAAATTATTTTGTCAGTTGATATATTTGGTTGAATTCGACTTGGTTAATAATAGGCCTTTTCATAGTAAATTGTATTAGTTTTTTTTTTATGTTTGTAGGTACTACCTACAAACATATAATATAAAAACTATGTACTAACATATGATGGGGTTGGTATCATATCCTCATATCAATTACTAGCTTTTGCCCGCGACTCCGATCGCGTGTAATAGTGACTTCCTGCAGATTTTTAGTGTACACCTTTTATAGCTCCATCTGTCTTTTTCGCCCGGAAGATTCACCTAATAACACGTCATGGTAGGCCCTCAGACCAGTGCAAACTATGGATGTCGTTAGTGTAAAATGTAGTCAAATTCTACAAATAACTCCTCCCGCCCTGACTGAGAACAAGAAGGAGTGTCTCTTACTAACTAAAAACCACAAAATTCCAACTCCTGCGCAGCTGGACCGCGAAACGAACCCGGCCGATACTGAAGGGGACCCAATCTAAATTGAGCTCAGTTCAGTGGCGTACTAGAGTAGAAGCCTTTTAATGGATAGAAAAGAAAGGATACAGTAAGTGACCAGTCGTCTCCACAGTGGTATCAGAAATGTATGACATAATTTCATCATCATTACGTTAATTTTAATTTGAACTTCAAATTAAAACAATAACGAAGAACGTGTTAACATTATTTTTTTAGAATTGGCAAGTTAATTTCACCCGGCTAGTTGTTTCGCTTTGCCAATTAATATAGTAAGTAAAACTTCCAGTGTTTTACCAAAAAGTATGCTTATAAGCAATCAGGATTACATTCTTAATATAGTGGCTAGCAAGTCAAAGCAAGTGTATCGATTTTGAACTTTATTGCTTAAACACAAAATCGAAAATTCAGTAAAAAATAACATTTTAAAATAATTACATTTAACAGGTTTCAACTGCTGGCCACAAACATTTGGTGTGTCTACAAAATGACTAAATTTGTTTCCCCTTTCAAAATCTACCAATACATCCAGAAAATTCAATAAAAAATCCCTCAATAAAAGAAGAAAAACAACTCACTCTGGGATCCCAAACAGGGAAACCAAGGTTTACTGAATCAGGTTGTTTCAGTAGGACTGGTTGGGGCCACTTCCACTGGCTGAAGACCAGGAAAAATTTGTGTACCAATGTTGCAGGCAGCGCATTGGGGTATAGCTGACAGGTCCGGGCAACCAACATGGCCCATGACACACCACCCAAATATCCAAGAGTATTGGAATAAATGCCATGACCTGTACAAAAATAACAATAACATTATTGAATACAAAAATATGCCTTCTTAAAAGCGTTAGTATGTAGATTAATAGGGTGGCAATAAGTTGGTGGCAATAATAAAAACATATGCATGAATTTATAATTGTATTGGGAACTCTGACAACAAATACTCTCAAAGCACAATAACACTAAATAGTTGATTTCTCCTTGGAAACAAAACCATGTCATATCACTACATAGCATAAAATAAAGTCGCTTTCTCCGTCTCTATATCCCTATGTACGCTTAAATCTTTAAAACTACGCAACGTATTTTGTTGCCGTTTTTCCCAATAGACAAGAGTCATAAACGGTTTTTTTTGTGAGAGGAAAATCATCAAATGACTTCTCCCACCCAGGGCCGGGCGGGAGGGAGTGTCAGACTCTTACTGACTAAAAACCCCCCTGTTCATTCTCCTGCTCTGGGCCGAGGTCGCGGTGCCTCATTGTGCTTACCCCGCAACCCCGGCTGAAAGTCATAAACTGTGACGTCTATATGTTTAATAACATGCTTTTAATAGTGGAGAAATTTAGTATCAGCATTGCAGCCGTGCGAAGTTGAGATGGATCGAGATAGAGAAGGTATGTGCATTAATCACCATGCTTGCTCAAGGATGATTGGTCAAATAAATTTATAATTAGAAATTACTTGTGACCTGCTTCGACTTAGCGTGGGTGCCATACTGATACTACATTTATCCACTTTTTAATTAATCACCAATCACTTTATCTGTTTAAAAAAACCGCAACAAAATCCGTTTCTTAGTTTTAAAGATTTAAACATACATACCGATTTAGGGACAAAGAAAGCGACTTTGTTTTTTTACTATGCTAAATCTCAAGCTCTATTTTAACAAATTAATATTGTATTCAAATACGTACGTTTCGCCCACAGTTTGATGGCGCGCAGTGTGAGCCTGAAGTTATTTATATTAGGCACGAGACGAAGGATCTCATCAGTAACCCTGCAACCATTGAGTGAGCGCACGCATTTCTGATCCAAGTTTTTCAAGAGCATATCATCTCGGAGATCGAAGGAATCTGTTGAAAAACATACATTATTAAGGGCTTATTTTTCAATAATCAGATAAATGTTATCTGAGGAAAAAAATTGTTGCTGTCACTGTCTTTTACAAACATACTGACGCGACAGCATCATAGTTATTCCCCTGATAACTTTTATGTTGAAAAATCAGCCCTAAATGGTTTAAAGTTGAGTCGATCATAATACACAAAGTAAACTGTAAATACTATGCGGTTCCGTCGTGTGTCGTGCATCGGTACCATCGAGTACTCATAAATATGAGCCCCTAGTATAACTTAAAACCAGACGATTTGCACGTCGAACAGTTCTGTTGGGTGAATAATTCTGGGAATAAAGAATAAACACAACGCTGTGGGTTGTTTCACGCCGGTATTCTGTGAGGTCGTGGTATCACTCCGGTCGAGCCGACCCATTCGTGCCGAAGCTTGGCTCTCCCACACTTTATCACTTATAGGCTGCTGATGATGATGATGATGAATTTATAAAACCAACGTCTATACAAAAAGGGGACATGTCCTTTGATTCGTATATTGAGTGCTATCACGTGTTGAAATATCGGTCACTTATTACCAGTCACCCCATATTGTACGTCCATGGAGTCAAATGGGCGTGACACAAGCGATAAAGCGGACACAGCGGAGTAGGATAAATAATTTAATATCTGACTTGTACAAAACTTAGAACTGGTTTTCCCTGTATTACTTGATGATGTTTATTTTTAATTGACATTAAGATAAGGACTGAATCATTGTTTGTTAATATTGTTGATGTTACGTAGTATCATTATTATTAGAAAAAAAAATTGTGCTATAGAAAACATATACATCAAAACAAAAAGACTGTGTGACACTTTATATTTTGAAGTAACTGACAAAGTAGTTAAAGCTTCAGTGAAATTAAAATGTTGATATTCAGTAAATTTTTATGAGTTTTGTTGATACCAACACGAAATGGGAATATCTGATAATTCATTGTTTCATTAGTGGTCAATGGGTTCTTAGTGGAACGCCACATGCTGAACGTTCGGTTTTGGTTCTGGTCAGTTCGCAGATCAGCGCTTACGGTGGCCGAATATCATACATCAGGACTTAGGACTTAAGAGTTTATTGGAACACAAATATCTGATAGAGAATATTGAGTTGAAAAAAAACTGTTGTTACTTCCTAAAATATACAAATGAAATTCTAGAACTCTTTAATTAATTAAATTCTAAAACTTATTTTTAAACAGTTTTATTATCTTCAACTATGACTTATAAAAGAGGAGAAGGGGCATCTTACCTGGTATTTCCTTAAGCGCCAATCGGGCAAAGAGCAAATCAATTTCTATCCCGTCGAAGTTCATTTTAATGACGGGTACAAAAGCATCCTCTACAGCTCTTAAATCTTTTACCTGCAAAAAAGAGAATCGTACTATAGTAACCTACTAGCTCAAGATGGATCTAATTCTTGATAGAAACGTTAAATCTATAGGTACTAATATTAATGATTATCAATATTAATCTTTATTACCGTCACACGTGCCTAGCAGATACCGAAGAAAGGGCAAAGGTCAAAATATATACTATATATATATTTATTTCTAAGACTTTCTCATTGGAGTCAATGAATCGATTTTGATCTCTAGTACACTTTAGGATAGACATCTTTCTTTAATTCTGCTATGAATAATCCACTGACAAAGTCGGACGTTATAGCTAAATTTTGTCACTTTTGAGCCAGAGCCTAGAAACTTTACCCAACTGATAAAAAAATTTAGTTAGACAAATTAAGATGCTGGATATAGATGTAGCACTAACCTGTGGTTGCGCCTTCAGTAATTCGTAAAACGACGCAAAATAGTCAATCCTGTCTATGTGACGCGGCGCTACGCATAGAGCGTCAATATCAGCACCTCTGTGGTGCACCTGAAAAAATACACAGATACAACTTAATAATGTAAAGAAATGTAATGCATTTGAAAAAGAGACTTTCATCCATATATATTAAAGGCAAAATTACATGTTGCTTCGAATAAATGTAACATAGCGCAATCTAAGTACTTATAAGAAAACGTAAAAAAATATTAAATCTTCAAACAAACTTACTCCAAGTCTGTAAGATCCAAATGTATAAATATTTCCCCCAACAGTTTCTGCTACACTGGGAGGCATATTCTTGCGCATCGATTCCTCTCTGATCCATTGTCTCACTAGTCTATGGAGGGCTCCTAGCACTTCCATTCGGTGGTGCATCTCTTGTTCCGACTCAAAAACTCCATAAGGGATCAGGGATTCTTTCAATTCTGTGGTTTTTTCTATATCAATGGGCTTTGGACCTGCAATCATAGTGAAGTTAATATATGTATAAGATTGTTTCACTGGAGAATCTCATACAGCACTGAGTGTAATGTGATTAATATCAACAATTTATATGAGGGCATTATCTTAATCACTGAAAATCATATTGTTTATAAATATTAACTGCATCAGAGGTCACATTTACTGAGTATTACTAATCTTGGGTTTATAAAGTCTATGCATGTCATTCAAGATTAGCTGACGTACTAAATGAAGACTGATTGCAATCATTTTTCAGCAATAGAATATATTTTGCAGAACAGTTTACATTTATTTCAAGGTTATTACTGATATAAAGTTATTTAGGCAAATTAAACTGACCCTGACCTTGTTATAATCATATGAATATTCTTTAGTTATCAATAGTCATATAAATGCACAAAATTAGATAACTTACCTGCCATGGATATGGCAGAGGTCATGCCCAAGGTCTTCAAATTCTGTTGGTTTTGATGTTCATTAGGTTTTCCTGTATTGTTGGGTGCGGGCGCATTGCTGTGTGAATACTGCGATGCCGGCCACATCTTGGACATTATTATCCAAGTTCTCTACAAAACAGAACTGCTTATGATAGCTACAAGCTTATATTACTAGGTGGGGCTCATTTATAAAAGAAAGCTCTCCTCTTGGACAACTGTGGGTCTCTCGGTGAAGTAAAATCTGGAACAAATAGATATACAATTTTGATAAGAAGTTCATTAGCAAACTAATAAATATTTATCTTGTAGATAGAGCAACATTAAATTCTAAGGATATACCTATAAATTATCTGGGCTAGAATGTCAAGTAAAACTAATTTTAATGCAAGTCAATGAATGAAAAGAGCTCCTGATAATAGCGATTTCGCGCCGGTCGTGAACCTGTAACCGCAGGTGAGAGAAACACGTTTGTCGATCTCACATTATTGTTAATGTTTTTAGTATTTGAAACCAAATGTTTTATTTCATTAATAAGTTAGTTTTATTTCGTACTGCATCATTAGCAATGATGAGGATAAAAATTCACAAATTACAACAAGTTAGTTAATAAGAAACAGACTTATTTTTTTTTCTGGTAACTGAATTACAAAATTACTATTACTTATTTAAAAAAAAGTAGAATTTTGGCACGTAGTCTTGTGTCGGGTCTGAGTGTGATGTGTATGTGGAATTGTATGTTTGTAAAACGCACCCATGACATAGGAGAAAATCCTAGTGTGGGCAGAAAGGACGGATACGAAGTTATTATACATACTAATAATTCCTAACAGTAATTAATGTTAATTTACTGTCTCCAGTTTTGTGTACCCACGAAGAAAAGCTCTTGTTCTTCAGTATGGGTCACAAAATAGTTACTACACAAGAAATAGTTAACCGGTACAGCATAGGAAGCCTAGATAATGATAGTTACATAACAATTATCATAGTAACAATAATGACCTGACCTACAACTAAGCACAAGATCAAAAATAGTTTTTATGACAGCAAAAAAGTTGTATCATGAAAATTGCAACAATAAAGTGTGCAAACCTTGATCTAATTCTGTGAGCATTGTACGAAGTCAACCTCCACACTACAAAAGGATAATAAGAGGCAAATATTAGTCTTTAGTAAAGCAAGTACTCCATATTATTGAATGCTCATAAACCATGCATCAGCCAAATCGTTTATGTAAAAGATGTTTACATAAACTTGTACTTTTTTCACTAGTCTTGATCAGCTACTTAGTAAAAAATTTATTGGTTTCCATAAATAAGTCCATTAGTGTGTCTTAAAATAATGATTCTCTCTTATATATGTATGTGATAGGAGGGCAAACAAGTAGAATATGGGGTACCAGATATTAAGCATATAGTGCCGCCCATGAATGCAACCACGGAGGAGTAACTAGTATGTCGCCAATCTTTTGGGGATTAGGTTTTTGTTGATTTAGTGATTGGGGAGGGGAAGGATGGGGTCTCTGGTAACCTCATCCGTAAAGTGACACAACTCTGTAGTTGTTTCACGTCGGTTTTCTGTAAGGTCTGGGTATCACTCTGGTGTACCACACTTAAATGATTGATTTGATTTTAGGCTTACTTTTATTTATACATATGCTTAGGTAATTTAAGAGTTTAAAGAACAGAGAATACTACATATACATTTAATACAAAAAAAAGACTATTAAAATTATGGGCTAAAGAGGAAAAAAAATACATAACATAGAAAACCTTACATTGATACAGGAATAAGAATTTGTAAATCGAGTCATGTGTTGAATTTAAATAAGGGTAGATGAAAAATATTACAACAATATTAAAAAGTTTAATTATAGGAGAATTATAATTAATGTGATTTCAGATGTCATCTGATTGTGGAAAAGAGAAGGAAAGATATTTGTATTAGCCCCACACAAAATTATGTGTTCAATAAAGAAAGAAAAAGAAATCAAAATGTGAAGGTACTTTAAAATTTGCTCAAGTCAGTTTAGTGATCATATCTTATCTATCATCAATCCAATATTGCTAGTACTATGCGAACATGTAGCGTACACTTGGGGAGTGGGGGGAGGGGCATCAGCTGTTGCGCCCAGTCAACTTGGTCTGAATATCAAACTTATTATAAACTTATTAGTTTTTTTTTGTATTAGGTATAGAGGAAAAATAGGATAGAGCTACACTTTCTCATTAGTAATTGTATGGTTGACCCATTTTAGTCTTTAATAAAAAGGTGACAATATAAATTTATTTATTTTGTAATTTTAAGTAAGCCATTTTGGTCTGTTTTCTATCACTTTTTATTTTTTGTGGTACCTACTTGCGAACTATGCTATTAGTAATTTAGAAATAGTGTTTTAGTGGGAGCTACATAGCTATTCTATGAACAGGAAAAAAGCAAATAGGCATATTTTATATTCTTAAACAATGTGGGTACCTAAGAGTATGTAACTACTCAATTATATACTTGTTTATTTTTCATTACAATTAATCCCAAATCTTTGGATGAGGATGGTTTTTTTTATGAAAACTCCATAAATTTGCTACACAGGTAATATCTGGGTGATTGTGCAGGAGTGTGTATAAATGAGTGAAAATAAAAATAGTGTGTAAGTTATGTTTTATTTATTAAATCAATAATCTTCTAACATACAACACATGTTTATACATAGATATTATACCTTTATGCACTTTTTGTTACTACAAACTTAAACATTGTATATTTCTCATAACTGCATCAGTCATCATTTTTGAAACAAAGGGTAGATGGTTTTTCATATTGGGTAAGTTACTAGTACTACAGCATTAGTATAGCAATATTGTTCAACATTCTGAATCATATTGTAACAAAAAAACGTGTTTGTTTCATAGTACTAAGGGGAATGATGTATTATTTCAAAGTTATTGCAAAATTTACTAGAAATTTTCATGTAATTATCAAGTTTATTGACATTCTTCTGATAAGGGCAAATTGTTGAATGTTAACATCATGATATGTACTACTGTTATCACTTACTGGCCATCGAGAAATAACTGTAAATATTGTAGATTCATTCTAAAACTGTCATCAATAATAAGGATCACTGATTTCCACTAACTGATATGTTACATTCTCTTAGGAAATGTAAATATTTGGTAGACAGATAAATAATGACGTAAATCGCCTAAAACCTTACTAGGAATCTGTGTACGACGATGTGAATCGGATTCGAAGAAGCCGCTATGATGCGTAAGCAAAAATCGAACTTTTAGAAAGCACTATACTATTTGTGGACGCAAAACGAGGTTCGTTCACCTACTTTTTATTTTCTTCTCAGTTTACCGACATAGCTAAGATCAAATTTCTTTCTAAAGGTTGTATACTTAAAAAAATAGAACAATCGCTAATAAATAAGAAAAAACATCAAGAACATTAACTCGCTGACAAGATCCCTGGAAGTATTCTTTTGTTGTCTGCATGTACTAAGGTCACAACTTATGTACATATGACCCTCACTTGTATCTGAACCTTGAATTATAACACATATTTGCAAACAAAACATTTTGATACATTATCTCAACATGAATAACATGTAGAAAACGGATACGCATTAGAAAAGCTCACGTTGTTCCAAGCAGATTGTTATTACGTTAACGAACACTATAAACGGTCTCAGCATTAATTGAATAATACACACTCACCAATATATTATGTTATCCGCCCTAAGCTGCAATATTTTACAGATGCAGTTAATTGAAATCATAATAAACGAAAGAAACAAACATTAATTTCTAAACAAGCACCCAACAGTCGCCAACAACAAGGCAGCCATATTTATGAACATGGCGGCAAACTTGTTTGCCAGCATAAAATAAATGTTTTAAGTGTTAGCATTCCCAAAAATATTAATAACATAATTTGCTAAGAATAAAATATAATAATATTTTAATGAAATAGTAAATTAAGTGAGGACTATTAATGCTAAGGTTTAAATAAAAAATATTATTCATTAAAAAAATAGAAATATACACCGAGAAATATGGTTTAACGCAATAACAAAACGTTTATGGGTGCGTTCAAAGTTTCAAATACTCGCTACTTTTGCGCATGCTCCATTGGCAGTTTTTTCAGTGACGTATCACAAAACTCCGTTGAACTCGTTCACATATCACTATCTCTTTTCATGTGCTGCCAAAAGAAAGGGATTGATAGAGAGCCGGTTGATGTTTTCGTGTCAGCCTTGTGCCCATTTACGAGGAGTAGGTAAAATCCGCCATCTTGAGAGTGAATTCAAGAATGTGAGGACTTTTAGCGGAGTTAAGTGAATTTCTTTAGTAATTTTATTATTAAATGGACTTATATTTGTCCACCACGCGATTTCGTAACCTGTATTCGAGCCGGTGGCGTTAACGGAAACGGTTTGCGCGTCGTTATTAAGCTTAAACGCCGAATTCCTTGATAGTGTTTATGTGACAGGAGAAGACACCGTAAGCTTTCTAATAGTTTTTTGCGTGTCTATTTCCGTTTTCCATCTCGACGATCGTTAACATATACGTGAAAGTGAAATAGGTATCGCGTATCGTTCCACAGTTTTCGTTATAGGGCTTCGCGATGTTTTTTTCTGGTCGAAAATGCGGTTAGATGGGCGTTGTTGGTCGGCAATCGGTGGAGCTAAGTCGGGGCCTGTGTCGGCGTCCTGGTGAAGGCCTGGGCCGGTCTGGCGGGCTGAGCGCGCGGCCGCCGCAGAGGATGCGAACGGCGAGGGTGGGCTAGCAAGGTGTTAAGTGTTTGAACTAGTGTTATTGTGAAAATGTCGACGACTATGAGGCCTACTCTCCAAACTGTCCCGGAGTCGTTGCCGGCGGACCACGTGACGGCGCCAGCGCCGGCTCCTGCGGCCACCACGACCGCTGCTGCTCCCTCGCAGCCGAGGCATCCCAGGCCTATGTTCAAGGTAAGTGTACAATTCTGTTTTGGTTCCCCAATCATTATACTCAACTACTGCTGATAAACAAATCTGATAACAAACATAAAATGCCTTACATAACTAGTTTTATCACACTGAAAACTTGTTTGTACAGATTGTTTGGATAGCAAACTAATAACTGGACCTTTTGTTTTTTTAATTATACACACAAGCATTGCAACATTCTTATCAGAGGTTCAATATTTGAAACAGAGATAACATTGGATTAATTTATGGTAGGTACACAGGTAATCTATAGATTGTGTTTGAGTAGAATACACATACAAAATTAGTAATTGTGCAAATTTGCAATGGTTACCTAGTTAGCCTAGAAAGTGTGGTCAGCGTAGCATGGCATCTTAACTATAAAATATTACGTTCATAAAAAAATCTTATTAGGTTTTTGTTATGTTTGCTAAGCATAAAAACATTGACACTCATTTAATGAAACCTGTTTCAATTTATCATTGTTATAAATGATTGTAGAAAGTAGAAGGTATGACCATTGCATAATTTAAGTAGATGACAACATCAGGTTTCTTATTTACAATATTATTATACATTGTAGAATATATTAGTAAACTAGACCTAATTAATGATATCCAGCTAAACATACTTTATTTTGGAGATTAATAAGGTATATTTTATAAAAATCACAAAATACAACTGATTTATACCATAAACAAATTTGCAGGCAGTCAAACCTCATTGCTCAATATAACAGGCCAGCAATAACTAGTTGTTACCATAAAAAATGATGCAGTGTGTAAAATACTGCTTGCACAAATGTAGCTACAATATTGTGAAGGATTACTCATTCATGCAATTTATCTCTGCATTGTGATGTTATAAAAACCAGGGCTTTTGTTTGATTTTAAATGCTTTAGACAATACATTGAGTCACTGTTGCACTTGTAAATTATTTAGCAGGCATTGTAAAGTTATGTCTAGCTTGTTTAAGTAGACATTTGTATTTGATTCTATTTTAAAATCCTGATAATCCATCTGACATAAAGTAGATTTTAATGCTTGCTTTAAAAAGGTAGACTAAAACTTTGCAAAACCACACACAAGAGCTGGAAAAAGTCATAATCATCATAATAAAAATATATTTAAACTAGACCATTGTGCTATGTTGGTAGTGACTCATATTTAATAAGCAAACATTACTGTTAATTTTGAATACACAGCTAAAACCTACTCTCCATATTTTTTTTATTTACTACCAACACTGGTTGGGAAATATTTATTCTGTATTGTTCATGTAAGGATTTAATAACACTAAAAATTTTTAATATAGGTGCTCAGGTAGGTATATTTATAAGCTAGTTACTTCTGGTTAGTTTCAACCGCTGAAAGACTTCAATTGGTTGTATCCTGATGTTGTAGCATATACCTTCTTGATAAATTAAGTATCAACAGAATATCTAGACCTGGAGTCAATTAATCTGGAGTCTTGCTTTCTAAGAAACATAAATAAACTTTTCAGCTATATAATATTATGTATTTACTTAGACCACTTCCTTTTTGCACAAATATAAAAAATATGTGCTAGCTACAATAGACAAATGTTGTGAGTACTATGTGTGATCTTATCATTTAAGGCAATTTCTTCTGAATACCTTTGGATGGAAATTTTCAAAGAAATTTCATTACCTAAAGCAAAATAACTAAATATTATTTTAATACCTTGTTTATATTTTATGGCCAGTTGCAAATAAATAACGAATCCACAAATATGTAGCTATATTATTGATACTGGCTATTTAAAGGTGACAAAAACAAATCAATAATTGCAGTGTTTAGGCTCACTCTTAACCATTTGAGGCATGATATGTGAACAGTCTTTTACACTATATCTTCAACACAGTTCTACAAAAATATAGTAAAATGGATTAGTAGGACATTTTGTTTTATGAAATATGAAATGAAATAACAGCTGTTGCAAGAAACATGTTAGATTTTAATTCTCCATAGTAACAACCTGATGTAGAATTTCTGTTTTCTCATAGCAAACTATGTATTTTAAATAAAAAAAAAACTACATACTTAATAAGTTACCAATTTGCATTATTTTGCTAGTATGTAGTAGCCATGGATTTTCTAAGGCCTTGCATTCACTGCATCTGTTTATTTATTCTCCTTTTTCATTCATAATAAAAAAACTGGCTCATTTACATATCAAGAACTTGTTTGAAAGCAAAAGTAAATTCAATGATATTCTTACTTAATAGATTACACACAAATACATATACATATTTAGAATATTAAGTAATTTTGTCAATATAAAAATTAATGGTATTCTTCAGAGCTACATTAAAGCCTTTTACCATAGTGTAGCAAAATATCTACATAAAAAATATCCCGCCATGTTTTCATTACGCCCACATGGTTTATGACGTCATAATGTAGTAATTTACGCGAAAACTAATACTTACACCTGTTTATATTACAGCAGTAGCAGCTTAATGATTGGGGAACCATATTATACGCTCTATGTAAACGCTTTTCAGCCTCATTTCCGTGAAAAAATGTGATTTGTTCTATATGTACGCCATGTTGTTGAAAAATGTCTTTTTAAGCTTAATAATGTTGTCTCTGGTATTGTCAACGACCTGTTACATCATAACAGGATAATTCCGTAATTGTGGTGCTTAATTTTGACGTGTTTGTTGTTTTGTCCGTTCTATTATTATGATTGTGATGTAAAATCTCGTTTTAGAAACGTAAATGATACAACTTTTATTTAAGAAAACGATATTTAAATTTAGATACACGTTTAAAAAAGCTTGTTAGATAATACGACAGTGATTTAGTTTAGTATTCTAGGAATTTAACCATTTTAATGTAGACTTTAAGTGAAGTCAATAAAAAACAATTTTTCATAAACTTATTTACGAAAATTCACGTGTTAGTAAACAGATCTAATAGAACCACTTGATGAACGTCGATTAATAATTTATCAACACATTCCATATTTACGTACATTCTGTCGCCACGAAAAAGTTCCAATACATCTTGTTATTAGGTAGGGGTGTGATGAAACTGTTTGCGCGACCCAGCCCGTCGTTTCATGCATAAAGCATCAGGCATAGGGCGTAGGGTAGGTTGGCCTTCCAACTGCCCCAGTTTTGACCCTATATACCTAGCAGGTACATACATATTTATGTAACTCTAAGTAAAATTGCGCATCATTGAATAATTTCTCAGTTCACTAAACCGTTTACTGTTCGCAGATTTTAGCTTCAAAAGCGCGCGTGATATAATTTATTAGTGAAATTTGAATACAATTTTCGGTGTTGTTTTCCTTTGTGATTCAGGTGCTAAACAAAATAAAGCTTTTTGCATTAATACCGTGGTTGATCTTGGTACGTACAGTCGATTAATGCCTAGTCGCGCTAGCGGTTTCTGTATAAAAAATACCCTTTCTCTTAATGTGTTATCAGTATTTTTTATAATAATAAATAGCATTTCAAAGGTCAACTACAGTTTTGAAGGCGTCAATGGTTAATTTTAATTTATCTTCAGAATTTTTTAACTTAAAGTTAATTATTCTTTTGTGTTTGCTGCCGTATGGAACACATTTCCTATTCTACATATTGATATCAAAGGGTCATAGTCTATCTAGTCTAGTTTTTAAAGAAAACCTTATTTAAATAAGGTTTTCGGTCACACGGCCTGACGTTATTTAAAAAGATTAATGACTGGTATTAAAGTCAAGCTATCGAATTATACACTCCAAAAATACTACTTCGTGTATAATATCTACAAAGTAACAACGCATCTTTATTATATATGATAAAATAAAGATAATCAGGAATGAACATTAACCCCATAATAATTACAGTTACGTAATAATTTTACACAAACAAGATTTTATTGGTCACCTCTGAATCACTCGTTTGTAAAAAAATAAACTCGACTTACCAAAGAAACGTT